CGGGATTCGGCAAAGCCCCCGAAGTAGATCCCATCCTCGCTACTACCCCCGAGTTCTTTTCCGAGGGGGATCGATATAACTTTTTACTGTTGTCAAAGAGCTTCAATAATTTAGTTTACGGAGGCCTCAAAAGAGTTTTGGTTCTTTACTATCCATCCCTCATGATTTTCTGTCTGTCATCTTCCACCAGGCTCCAGTACTCCTTGTTTTACGAATTTGGGAAACTAGACTATCCTAGCTCTGTTTCCTTGCGTCGGCTTCATTCTCTTGACGACACACTATTGAGTTTGAGTCAACTGAGAGTATCCGAATGGGGTCTCGCGGCGGCGTCTGGCTGTTTCTGGACCTGGAGCCAAAGAAGGAAAGGTAATTCTGCCTTTATCACATTGCAGCCACCCTCGGGACCATGAATGGCGGACGCCGCCCAGTTATCGATGACAGGGCAGGGCGGATGTTTGACAGTCCACTCTGAGCGAAGTGTTCCTCACTAGCGCACTGAACTGGGCTGGGCGATTGAATGGGACGGGATCTCTGTACATTTGGGAATGCAAAGTCTGAGCCACAAAGTATCTTTGAACAAGCGTATATGTATTTTATATGTACGTTTGATTTCAAGTTAATTGCACCGCTTCCTCGGTCAGGCCTGTCTCCAAGTCGGGAGAGCGACTGCCAGCGCCTTTTCGGGTCCAAGGGAAAAAGAGAGGGAAAACGTTCTTCGTTACGTAGATGTGCGCCACAAGGAATAGCTACGGTACTGTGTCATGCAGCAGAGTTTGCAAACCACTTTAGCTGGAGGATCCCGAGAGTATGCGCGCCCAATGAGAGTCGAACTCTTATGATGCAGGCAGTCCGATGTGCAACTTGCTGGTGCGTTTCATCGGCTAATAGCTCACCCCACGGCTGTGGCGACGTTACAGCTCCGCGTGCTGCTTGCAAGGCAATCAATCGATCAGTCGACAAAAATCTTGCAAGACATAGGAGCAATGGTGCCGGTTAGGTAGAGGTGGCCTAGTCCGCAATAATCCCAGGCCCTTTGCCCAACGATGGCAGGTGGCGAGCTTGGTCCGTTGCGGCCCTCTACGGTCTACGATAGAGTCGATGTTCCTTGGCGAGGTTTGCTCTTAGAGCTTCAGAAGCTGAACAAGTGGGATCCATAGATCCATTGGATGCCCTTGTTGCTGGCGTCGATGCTGATGGGGCAAGAAGGCGGCGGAGTGAGGGTTACTGCCCCGATTTTACCACTCCTCTGACAGTTGAGCATTTGGAGAGGAGGGCTCGTAAAGTGGCTTGAAAGGGCATTATCAAACTCGTTTGCGCGCTGTCGGGAGGTATTGGCGCTATTATCAAGGTCTCGGGGTGAATGAAACCGACGGGACATGGGCAGATTAATCAATTCAGCCCTGATCGAGCCAGAGCGCACAGTGCAAAACATCTCCCTCAGATCCTGGCCTGTCATAGACAGACACTCCCTGCAGGGCGCTAAGTTTGGAAACCACAGGACGGGACTGGTGCCCTTGAGTGGTTCAGTCCTCCATGGGTGTCTCAAGAGCCCTTGTCAGAATTCTGAGTGGGCGAGATGCAAGTGTGCAAGGACCACCGACCTCGCAGCCTGGGGGGCCCGGCGGGCCAAGTGAACCCGTCGAGTCATCGATATGGATGTGGAGGATCTGAGACGGGCCCGCTTCAGATTCCCATTCACTCCATACTGTGTCTTTTCTCTTGACATTGATATCTACTCCGGATGTGGGGAAAGGCGAGCCAAGACGATTCTGGATGGATCAAATTGAATAGATACGGGCGGAACCCTATGGTGGATAGAGGTAGATCAGCCTCGAGAGCGTCAAGGTCAGCCGGAAAAGGCCACGGGGTATCGGCCTGAGTGTATCCGTAGGATATTGAACTGATCAATTAGTGCCAAGTATATGCTGTGCAATTTTATGTGGGTGTATAGAGCGCATGAAAAGAGGCTCTGTAGCAGAAAGTGCTTGAACACCGTTTGTTCCTTCTTGCCGTCACGATCTGGCTGGCCTCAGGCGCTACGTACCGTGCGGAATAGGAAAGCGACACGTTTGATAGTCCTCGAATGCAGCGGGTATGGAGTTCATAGACATCGCCACATACAAGTGGTGATGGCTTTCATCCGGATCAATGATCTTTGTGAAATTTCATGGCGCACCCAGCTCTGTATTCTAGATTTTTTCATGCGGCAAATATAAAATCTGGCTCGTCTCTCGGCGAAGATACTCGTCTGATAGGCTGGGCGACGGAAACAACCCAAAGAGTAAAATTCTCCATTCGGGCCGCCCAAGAGGTGTGAGAGAAGGAGCCAGGAAATGACAACTAGACAGATCCATGACTAGGTCTTGGCCTCGGAGGTTTTTCTCACCAAAAGTTGGAAAACGCAAGCACTAAACTTCCCGGGCGACCTACGTCCCGAGGACTCTATTTGGATGAGCATTTGAGGGTGGAGAGCTTGGTCCTTCCTCGTTCTTCTCGTTCGTTGTCATGGCGCTGAACTCGCCTTCACATCTGCCTGCCTCACAAGGGAAGGGAAAGGGACGTCAATGCTTATGTTGACGTCTTAAGACCGAAGAGGCCGACTTGTACCTCGACAGAGTGAGGGACATGTCCTGCTTTGAACAGCATGCTCCGTGGCATGAGCAATATCTAATCACTGCCAGATTGACTTCTATCACCAAAACGTATAGCCAAGGCTGAGTTTTAGTGATACGTAACCTAAAAAGGACTTTGTCTCTCTCGTCTCCAGATGAGGTGAGAGGTCTCTCATGCGACTGGCCACTTGAATGCCATCAAGCATGAAAGACCGTCGTAATTGAGGATAAAGGAAAGCCACTATGTGGTCATCAAATCGCCACCGGAGGACTACCGCATCAGAGCCATCGCCAAACCCGACAGCCATTCATTCGAGAAGACCACCACCATGCCAATCAGCTCGGTCCGAGATGATAATTCTCCCAAGTTCCGAATCATTGGGAACACCGACAAGTAGCCCGCTAGCCAGACAGCAATTTACGTTTGTGGTGCACACGCTAACTCTCCGGCGTCTCGGAAGGTGGCTGTAGCCTCGACAGTGAGAAAGCGAAACGCCAAACGAAAACCCCAGGATCTTTAATTTCCACTCCCTCTCCCAAGGCCAGCCCACACCCCCACCGAAAGGCGAAGCCAAGCTCTGCTTCCTTCGTGGAGCCAGGCTGGGGGGCACATTCAAAGATGGCACAGATCAAACATCATCGCGCAAAGAAACGGGTCAGATCAATCAAACCAGATTCTCTCCAGCCGCGCCGGACAGCAACGGTGTCGATCAGCCATCCCGAGAGCAGGACATTGAATCTTCTCCCGCTTGAGAAGACGGAATGCCGATACATCCTGTCAGATGTGGTCGGGAAGTACTACAACGTCCCTTCCGCTCGCTCTTCGCAGGTCACTTCTCGCACTGCCTCACACAGTCTCAGAAAAAGAGGTTCGCGGTCTCGCGTTGTGCCGGCGTCCAGCGAGGGCGTTGGAGCCTTGGAGCCTTGGAGTTGGAGCCTTGGAGTATAATCAGACTACCTTCCCTACCCTCAACGCGCTCGAAGTTGAAGGAAGGCAGCAGACAGGAAGCAGCGTTGTCTGTAAAAGACCGATACTTGGAAGCCCATTCCGTTGCCTCGACCCAACCAACAACCTTTCCCCTTCGGAACAGCGATAGTCTCTCGTTCGCTCGTAGCCAACTCGGTCCACTTATTGATCCGCTCCCATCCCTCCTTCTCCATTTTAATCTTGCTTCGGCAGCATTGACCTTGATACGGAATTGCGTCTTCAATGGTTCTAGCCTCAACTCCGTCCGGCTGTCCTTCTCCCACCCCTACACTTAGCAGTTTTGAGGCTAGTGATTGTGTCCTGGTGGAGGGCTTCCGTTACCGCTATAACCCCAGGCTTCAACGCCCCAATTTCGACCGGGTGTTATGAGCTATACCCACACTGTGCAATATACTGTCTCGCCACAGTACCATCCCTCCCACTCAACCCGCAAGTAAACCCACCAAAGTACGGCTGTACTCGGGTACTTTGGGGAGAGTGTAAGCGGTACTGTACGAGTACGACGAAAACATCCGCAATCCCAAAATTGGCCTGTCCTGTACCGATACCTTGATACTGGCCGCTGAAGCGCATAATTCCCCTGCAGATCGGGTACAGGAACTTCGATCTGCCGTCGATGGCACCCTGGTTTCTCAGAATGGCCTCGGCATGACCAGTCCCTCCATGCTCTCACAAGTCGATCCATTGTACCCTAGCCGTACCGAGTCCCTGTCCTGTACCAACATTCCCTTGCACCTTCCCTGTACCCGCACAGGGAAAGGATGGACAAGGGCGACGACGACGATGGCCACCATCGCCCTCTCCTAGTCTTGGTTACTCAACCGACGCCGACTCCGTGCCTCGCTTTCCGCCATCCCACCACACCACACGCTCCCGCAGCACGCACCAGATTGAACTGGACTGGGACCGACCACACCACTCTAGCACAGCCGCCCACTGCCAGAGAGCCCTCCCAAACCTCTTCCTCCTTTTTCCTTTTTCACCTCTCTCCAAGCAGTAATTGCTTCGAACAGGTCGAAAAATCACCAGTCTCGCAACAAGACCCAATTCGACGTTCAATCGCAATTCCTTCAACGTCGAATAGTTATGCTATTCGCGGCCTCGAAGCATTCCTCACTCCCTCTTGTCCTTACAGTCGCCCCTCGGTCCTTACTGCGAGTTCGCTCAACCCCTCTCTCCCGCAGTTGCTAGGCGTTCCGCTTTACGACCAACGACAGTCGCCCACGACCACTTTGCCGCTTGACCCGCAGAGCTCCCTGCCTTTCTCGTCGCCTCGCTTCTCTCCATAACCCCGCCGAAGAACCGAAGGAAAAAAAGAAATCTCGACAAGAGAGAAAGAGAGCTTTGGATCCCACTGCTCTCTTTTTCTCCCATTGAGCATTTTCTTGCCTATCATGACCATGAACGACAGCGGCGTCAATATTGACAAGACTCCCACGATGCCCAACTCGAACACCTCGCCCAATGGTGCGTCGGGGAGCCCCATAACCCCTCCCTTGCCTACATCTTCCACCTCTACCACCGCTGGCACCGCCGAGGAGACCGGTATGAGACATTGAGCGTTTTCTACCCCTCTGGACAAGCCTGAGACATATCTCCCCTTTCATAGTCATGCTTCCGCCGAGGCCGCGGACTGATTCACCCTCACTTATTCCTATCGCTTGCCTCATGAGTATCGATTTGCTGACCATTGCTGCCTTGCGAAACTATAGCCTCCACCATCACCGTGAATACCACCAAGACCCCCGCTGCCAATTTCCCTCCCCCGAAGACCGATAAACCCCGGCCGCATGTCTGCGCAACTTGCCAGAGGTCGTTTGCCCGTCTGGAGCATTTGAAGCGTCACGAACGTTCCCACACCAAGGAGAAGCCCTTCGCCTGCCCGGAGTGCACAAGATGTTTTGCACGTCGCGACCTCTTGCTGAGACACCAGCAGAAACTGCATCAGACCACTACCCCTTCCTCTAGGCCTCGTAATCGCCGGGAGAGCGCCGCCAGCGCCAACCCTGTTCAGTCTCGCGCACGCAAAAATAGCATTGCCGGCCCAAGTGCGGCCGCAGCTGCCGCCAACGCCGCCGCGTCCATGAGGCCAAGGGCTAACACGATCAGCCATGTTGACGTCCAGATGCTTGCTGCAGCCAATGCATCCGTCGCAAGGGCCATGCCCAGCCACAACCGTCACCCCAGCCTTGCCGGCCTGCCGCTCCATCACAACATCGATAATCTGTTCGGCGGCATGTCCGTCGCCATGGGGCAGCGCGGGATCAACCCTCATGGCCTTCCCAAACTAGAGACGGGCCAGCTCAATCAGATGGACTTTAGTGGCGGCCTGCGAACCGCCCCTCCCATGCCCTTCTCTAATGAGTTCGACTTCGAGGGCCTCCTCTTTGGGGGCAGGGCTCGACGATCAACCCAAATGCTCTCCACTACAACGACTCCCCTCAGTCGATGGCTTTGGATCCAACGTCACCTTTTCCCCACGGACTGCACGATCTTTCCGCTAGCCAGCACCTGGATGACACCATCGATTGGTTGAGTGGGTTTGATCACCAGATGTCATTCCATCACCCCAATGAAAATGCCGTCGACGGCTCAAGCCCGTCCGCCATCAGTAGCACGAGCCAGAGCGGCCTCAGCGACGTCATGTTGGATGGCTCTAACCACCCTGCACCCGTGGGCACGAGCTCCATGTGGCAGCCGACGTCCATGGGCCCTCCCCAAATGCCCAATCCGTTTGCTTTGGATCTCAACAGCTCCGTGTTCCCTGACCTCATGAACGGATCTCCCATCTCACCCCAGCCTGCATCGCAAAAGCTCAACGACGCCTATTTCTCCACTCCTCCCTCGTCCCTTACCTCGCTTAGCCCAACCCTCGTCAACGGGATCACAGCATCGCAAAACATCAACCAAGCTCTCTCTTTCAACAACGCCCCCGAGACGCCCACCTCTTTGGCTAACGGCGGCAATGGCAATACGCAGCAGGCCACCGCCCCCGAGCATTCCCGAAGCCACCCGAAACGCCATTGTAAACGCCCTCAACCATAGGCCAGGCTTTGGCCGTAAATACTCGCTTCAGGCGCCGGGGTCTCCCCTCTCGCCGCAATACCAAGCGTCGCCGGTGAACGTTTCTGACAATGCAAAGAATCTCCCGAGCACCCAAGATCTTCAGCGGTATGTCGGTGCCTACCTCCGTTACTTCCATCCTCATCTCCCATTCCTCCACATCCCGACACTGTCATTCGACGTGCCTTCCTCATCATCCCCTGTAAATGGACGCACCGGGGAGTCGCCGGTAGCGGATGCCTTATCCTTTCGATGGCGGCCATTGGTGCGCTGTACGAGATGGACCATGGGCAGTCCAGGGAGCTGTTCGAATTGGCGAAGAAGATGGTTCAGCAGTATCTTGAGGAGCGGCGAAAGGCGGACGTCAGGAAAGCCGATTGCCTGCGTACTCCCGGATCGGACGTAACCCCTCAACCGCAAGAGAATGCAACTCATACCCCTGTTTGGCTCGTGCAGGCAATGCTCCTGAATGTGGTCTATGGGCACAACTGTGGCGACAAGACGGCGAGCGAGATCGCTTCGACCCACTGCGCAGCCCTCGTTAGTCTTGCCCAGGGTGCTGACCTCCTCCGACAGACCAGAGTAGAAGCCGAGAGTCACGATACCATGATGAGCGAGGACGCGGCGTGGACCGCCGCCATCAAGTCCGAGTCCGATGAACAAACCGAGTGGATCAAGTGGAAGAAGGTGGAAGAGAAGAAGCGTACACTTTTTGCCGTCTTTGTCCTGTCCAGCCTACTTGTCTCCTTTTTCAACCACCCGCCAGCCCTCTCCAACTCCGAAATCACCCTTGACCTCCCCTGCGACGAAAAATTCTTTAGCGCCGAGACTGCTGCAGCGTTTCACGCTCGGGGCGGTTCGCAAGCCGCGAACCGTAACCGCGTGGCTTTCAACGATGCTCTCGGAGAACTTCTCCGAGCCAACGAGAGGCAACACAAGCACGGTTCCGCCGACGCTCACAGCGATCTCAGACCCGGTTCTTTTGGCTGTTTTGTATTGATGAATGCACTTCACAACTACATATGGGAGACGCGTCAAAGGCACCAAGCCAAAGGTTGGACCACCGACGATATGGAGACAATGCACCAGCATTTGGAGCCAGCGCTCAAAGCGTGGCAGACTGTCTGGACCAAGAGCTCCAATTCAGGCGGAGATCTTACCCTAGAGCCGGGCGTTCTTTCTGCTGACTCCATCTCCCTTTTGGACATAGCACACGTTCGACTCTATGCCAACCTTTCGCTGTCTAAGGAACGATTCTGGAAGCGTGACTGGGATGGCGTGGCGGAGGAGATTGCCCGCTCTAGCGAGGCCTCACCGCTCGCTGAAAACACCCCCGACGCGCAAAGCGAAGCCAACAGCGCCGACTCCTCGGACGCCTCAATGAGTGGCTCTGGTGCCGCTGACTCACCCGCTACGCAAATTTCAGTCCCCCACGAGTTTTCTGTGCCCGGCAAGACATCCTCGCAGCAACAGGTATCCGGAGTCGACTTGCAGCGGCGTGAGAAGTACATGCGGACGGCTGCTTTCTACGCAGCGGATTCGCTCGTGTCGATGGTAAAAACAACGGGGATCTCGTCGGACGCGAACTCACTCTTCAAGCATCGCTTTGCATCATGGACTGCTCCCAGGTTCTTGGGGAATGGGTAGCGACTCTCCAGGACCGCGTCGGACGCTATCTCGGGATCCTTGGCCAGGATGACGTCGATCTCACACAGGTACCAGCCATCATGCTTCTCGAAGACGAGGATGTCAAGTTGCTCCGCAAAGTGCAAGAGATCATTGCTGTAATCGAGCCGAACCTTAGCATGGATCTGGGCAGCGCTAGCTCGGGACTTGCAAGCAATGGCGGCTTTTCGGGCTATGCCTCAAAGCTCCTCCAGCTGGCATCCAAGTCGCTATTCAAGTCAGCGGTGTGGCCCGGTACGCACTTGATGGCCGAGTGTCTTGAGACCCATGCCAATTATATGCGATCCCGAGCAGAGATCAATCCTTGCGTGCGAGTGAGGGTGCTTTCGACGGCATGCGTACACATCATCTCCTACATATTTTCAAGACTCTTTTTGAAGCGCGGTTTACGACATTGGGAACATAGGGTATCATTCTAACAAATTATGGACTAAAGGGCTGTAGGAAAGTGTGGAAAACGAGAAAAAGACAACAATATCGCGACACGGAATTTCGGTACGGCGTAGCCGGGTTGGGTTGGGCAAAGGGCGGAGAGAAAAAATCATTGCGGGAGGGGAAATCTTGTCTTTTTTCTTTGTCTTTTTCTTTTCCTTTTTTCTTTTCCTTTCTTACACCTTATAGACTGGAAGGGGGCGGTTATCTTGACTGCCCAGCATGCCAGTCGACTTGGGCGCGCCACCATTCAGCACCTCAGCCGTCAATGCATCATGATAGCTGCGCCTGCTTTCATGGAGAACTGCGGAACGGCACCCCGTTACCACGGTTGACCTGGTTAGGCTCAATTCTCTCCATATGCTGAACGCCACCCTCTCGCCACCCTGCGCGGTGCGACAGTTGTGTGTAGCCTTTGTTGGCGATGGCCGAACTGTATATATCTCCTGGACTCGGACATAGTCGCCTGCCTTTCTCTTTTTTTCTGTTGATTTTTTTGTCTTTCTTTTTTGTTGAACACCTCGTCTGAGGACTACGTTTACATGGTTGAATGCGGCAAGGGAAGGGCAACATGAAGCAACGCAAACGTTACGAATGGAACATGGCTTACTTACGACGGACCATGACTTGCACATGACGACATGCATCCAACGGAGTTATTGTGTTGCCTCTTCTCTTGGTTCGCCCTCATCCGTTACTGGACCGCCGTCTTGGTCTGATAAGACGGACATCACAATGGTGATGTAGAGGGAGATGGTGGAAACATTAGGGTTGGACACTAGACATGGCCCCGTCAATATTGTAGGGGCTTGCCTTGTCACCCTCGAGGTTATCGTCACTGGACCCATACCTCGCATCTCTTCTTTCTTCTCTTTAGGCTGCCGGGCCTCTTTGCCTCTTGCGGGCCTTCCGCTATGGAGGCCATAGGGCTCGGCACGTCTCAATGATATACGTTTACACCAAAAAAACAAAGCCCCCTGCCAAACTCTGGTTTTCTTCTCTTCTTTTGTTTCCATTTTCCCTCTCTACTCCTTTGGGTTTGGAACCAAGTCAATGGGTTGTTACAAAATGAGCGCCCTCTCTCTCATCTCCTGATCTTGGATGGCAAGGGGGCGAAGGGAGAGAGGAGAAGGCGAAAGCAGAAAAGGCCTGGAGCATGAACAAAGAGGAGGAAACAGGCATGGGCCCGCTATATGGAACATACCATCTCTACTTATTTGCCTGTTGTGTTTCTGGCTCGCTTTGGTTCTTGTTCTCCTTTTTTTCTTTGTCATTAATTTCAGTCGAAGCGAGATCCGTGATTTCGGTCGACACATTCAACATTTTTCGATTACGACTTAACGAGACGTTTTGTTTCTGTTGGCCCACATAGCAAGAAATGAAGTGGAAAAATGACAATTCTGAAAGTCTTGAAGCCTTTGTAATCGTTGTTCTTCGGCCTCACCTGTCCCTGAGATGTAGTAGCGAGTATCAAGCCAATTAACCGAACTAGAAATAGAAGGCGCCCTTGACATGGGTCATGGCTGGCGCGTGCAAGATGGTGCACAATCTTCTTCTTTTCACTGGGATAAACCGTCCTCATATATGATTCAGAGGGACCGGGCCAGCGAAGGCTGTATGTGACCACTCCTCGAACCAGAGAAGGGGAGCCAAGAGGGAGAGGGATAAGGTCTAGGAAAGACGGGGTGGGGGTGTATACGAAGGAGTTGTCCCACAGCGACGTGAGAGAGACAAGGTCAAGCTAACCACACGACAAGCCTTAAAAGATCAAGATTTCGAGGAGGAAAATGGGGAGGGTGTGAAGCCGCCGGGGCCATCTCCCGTTAGCACGCGTTAGATCCGATGACTCTATGAATAGCCAAAAGCCGTAGCTCTTCTACTCTAACACTTTGAGACCAGGACAATGGTAGATAAGTGCAGCCTCCAAGCCCCTCAAAGAACAGAAGATCAGCCCCATAAGTGAAAAACGACGAGTCCAGCGTCGTTGACGAAGGCCCACGGTAAGAAGGAGGTGCCCTCGAATACCGTAGGCGTAGAGGGTTTGCCTTCCTTGGAGGCGACTGACTCACCAGAGCATGATATGCGGTTTCCAGTGGCGAGGTCGTTCCTCTGCTTTGGGAATGAGAATCCTTCTTATGGAGATTAGGTTTACCGGCGCAAGGGCGTCACCAGTCCGCGAAAGGCGCCGGCTGCTGCCTACCACTTACAAGTACTTCAAGCAGGAATGAACGTCGTTCGAGAGGGTGGGGAGGTATGAGGAGGGGACACAAGAGAATTAGAGTCTAGGCCCAAGCGTCATTCGGCGAGTGTGTCATCGCTCGCTAGTCGCCGAACATGGAAGCAATTGGAAACGAACGGCTGCACTAATTTGGGGCAGCAGCACACCTTGATCCGTGAATTGAGGAAGATGCACCGGTCCATCAAGGGGTAGATGAATGGTCCCATCAATTGATCCATTGGCTTGCCACGTTGGTTTTTGCTAGCTCTTCGGAAAGGGGCCTCAGCCCTGTCCTCGGTATGCGGGCCGTCTCAAACACTTCCCACTCGGGAATCGAAGGTGGGGTAGGAAAAATAGATCTAATAGATTGAACACGAGCCCTCAAAGAAGTTTTGGGGAAGTGATGGATGCAGACAGTCCATTCAAGCCAGGAAGCTCGTTCAAAACATCCAAGACACCAGAAAACCCACCCAACGCCCAGGAAGCGATTGAGCCAAAAGTGGGTGACAATGTCTATCGCCAACTCTTCGCTGCAGGAAGCACGGTTGATCTTGCAGTCCGCGCTGTTCTGCTGGAGAGTCGAGGATGTGACAACTGGCTTGAGGCCCCACACCCCGCGCCTTCCCCGCACTCAACCCACCCGATAGAACTCTAACCTGATTTGTTCAACCACGACCCAGCCCGTGACGGCAAGCTGCTTTCGGGAGGCGCGACCTTGTGGCCCTTGGGGACTGGGGCTTAGAACTTGGAACACCATCGACAAGTGTGTCCGGAGAAAACAACTTGGAGAAGGAGCAGTTGGGGGTCTAGGCAAGGGGAAGGCGCGGGGGTGGTTAAGAAACGGGCAGCATGTCGCATCCCTGGACCTTGGCTTTGGCGTGACCTGATTCGTTTTTAGTTTTTCGTGTTGGAGGGGAGGATCTCCCTGTTTCCCCCATCGAGTCATCTCCTTCTTCTAGAACAAAGCCCTGCCCGGTGTCTCGCCCCTCTCATTATTGGGTTGATCAAAGCTCTCTGATGACTCCTCCATCATCCACTCCCTCCGCCTGACTGCTGACAGCACAGAGCACAGCTTTTGCCTAGCCCCCAGCCCTCGAGCATCATCTGCCAGGCATAAAAGTCACGCTCTCGTCACCGCCCTCAACCTCAACCGTGTCCCACCGGTCATCGTTGAAGACAACCACTCCTAAGCTATCCCAAAGACAAGCAATATTTGCAACTGTTTATCCTTATCCTAATTCTTTTTTCTTTTATTAAAAAAGTCTTCTTCTTGGCCCGAACTTTATCTTTATTGACGAGCGTGCGTGTGTTTGGCCATTCGAGATTGTGCCTGCCCCTCCCTCGTTCCCTTTCGAGACCTCTTAGATGCTCCGATTGCTCGTTTCCGCGTCTGATCATATATTCACAATGATATTACCGTTACGGCAGATTTGAGCTTATTCTTCCTTCTTCGACTTCATCTCTTAGCTCCGATTTCCCTCTTCTCTTGTTCTCTCGTGTAAAAACGTCAGCGAGAAGATACAAAGCCAAACCAAACAAAAGAAATAACGGCTGTGGGGGCTCTTTCTTCACCTCACAGTCGAGTAGACAAGCATCTGTACATTTGCTGTTCTCTGTCCCTGGTCTCCCCGTGGTAACAACATGGCGACTAAGCAACTCCCGCACGAGAAGCGTAAGACTGAGGCGGTATGTTTCATTCGTTCCCCATGAACCAAAGCACATTCCGCTTTTCTGTCGGATATCCCTCTTTCTTCCGATCTCGTGACATGTATATCTAGCCCAGGTGTCTTTCTAACTGTGATACGTATTCGTCTTTCCAGGTCCTGAGCGACTTCGCCGACTATGCTGCCAAGCAGGAACAAGCAATCCGCTACGGCGCCGCGCACGTTCCGGCCCCCGCTTCCGCAACACAGCCTGGCGCTGCCGCCGAGGTTGCAGCCTCTGGCAACGAACTCGACGATCTCGCCGACTGGGCTGATTTTGGCGATGGAGACGGTAGCGCCAACAACGCTAATCCTTCTCTAAAGGACATTTTTCTAGGCCCAGAGGACACCTCTATCCCCCTTCTGGAGCGCTTCCTCTCCAAGCGCCTCGATGAGGGCGGCCGGGAGACCGTCCTCCACTTGGGCTTCGAAAATAATGCCGACTCTATGGGGTTGACGCGTGATGATTGGACTACTGCTTATGGAAGGCTAGAGCGAGTGGCAAAGGACCTGAACTCCGTTTGCCGTGTTCTATATACAAAAAACGTAGGAGGGCCCGAGGAAGTCGAAGACGGCAATGGCGCAGCGCCAAAGTCGGAGAAGGAGAGGGATTGTAGTGGCAAAATTCTGATCCGTAAGCTTCCGTCGAGGCCAGATGAGAATATCGAGACCAGGATAGTCGTTGTTGGAAACGGTAAGGCTGAAACTTTTCTCTGACCGGCCGGAGTGGAAAATGGGACCTTCTCGCTGACATGACTCTGTTGTTAGTTGATGCCGGAAAGTCTTCCCTGCTGGGCGTCTTGGTGAAGGGAGACCTCGACGATGGCCGAGGAAGTGCCCGAGTCAATTTATTCCGCCACAAGCACGAGATTGAGACCGGTCGTACCAGCTCTGTTGGCATGGAAATTCTTGGCTTCAACGCCGGTGGAGAGGTCGTTGTATCCGACATTCCTGGCCGTAAACTTACGTGGGAGGAGGTTGGCAAGCGTAGCGCCAAAATCATTACCTTTTCCGATCTTGCCGGCCATGAGCGCTATCTGCGCACCACCGTTTTCGGTATGCTGTCCGGTAGCCCGGACTACTGCCTCCTCATGGTTGCGGCCAATAACGGACTTATCGGGATGAGCAAAGAGCACCTTGGCATCGCCGTTGCCTTGAACGTCCCAGTCATGGTCATCATCACCAAGATTGACATCTGTCCGCCTCAGATTTTGCAGGAGACCATAACTCAGCTCACCAAAATTCTCAAAAGCCCCGGTGCCCGCAAAATTCCCGTCTTCATCCGGGATCGCGAGACTTGCATCAATACCGCCACCCAGATGGTGAGCCCGCGCATTGCCCCCATCTTTCAAGTCTCCAACGTGACTGGTGAGAACTTGGATCTCGTCCGCACCTTTTTGAACATTTTGCCTCCGCACGGCTACTACAACGCCGATGCACCTTTCGAGTTCACCGTGAACGATACATTTTCGGTACCCTTTGTTGGCACCGTTGTTGCCGGTATCGTGCAGTCCGGGGTTGTACATGTCGGGGACAGCGTGCTGATCGGGCCCGACTCCATTGGCCAGTTCACGACAACGACTGTCCGCTCCATTGAAAGGAAACGCATTTCCGTGCAAGCCGCTTCGGCCGGCCAGTCTGCCTCCCTCGCCCTCAAACGAATGAGGAGGAAAGACGTGCGCAAAGGCATGGTCGTTCTACCTAGGATCGAGGGGCAGGCGCCTCCCCAGGTTTACCGCGAATTCGTCGCAGAGGGTATGGCTACGCAACTCCTTCACCTTCCTTTCTTACTTGTTTACTTTGTATGGGTGTGCATGCTAACAGAATCGCCCTTTTCACATTCACAGTTCTTGTTCTTTCGCACGCAACTACCATCAAGACTAGGTATCAGGCTATGCTGCATGTCGGCTCCATCTCCCAGACTTGCGCCATCATTGACGTTGACCGACCGTACATCCGTACCGGTGACAAAGCCACGGTTGCCTTCCGCTTTGTCCAGCGCCCCGAGTTCGTCCGCCCTGGCGAGCGCATTCTTATCCGCGAAGGCAGGACCAAAGGATTGGGCATTATCAAGGCGGTTGGATACGACCCTAATGACCCCATATGGCAACCTAAAGATGCGGAATCCTCGGCAAAGTGATCAAGGTCGGGTTGCTATACTTGCACATCTCGAGGTCAACCGCTGCGGTGTGCCCACGTCTACGAGGGCGGGATGTGTTCTTTTCTTGGGTTCATGCCAGCTTTGTTATTGTCATGACTATCTTGAGTTAGTACTGTTTTTATTTAGGCTTCTTCCATCTTTTTATATATATTACATTTAAGCCACGAAGCGATCAATTGGTCAAGCGGCCGTCGTCGACCATAGCTGGGCGGTACAGTCAACCGTCATCTTCTTTGGTCGTTGCACACCTCCAAGCTCGGCTTTCCACGGTTATGTTTTTCCTTGTACCTCGGCACCGTTTCTTTATATATAGTCTTTAGCATCACGAAAAGATTCAACGAGTTTTACTTGTAGTAACGTTGGAGGAGAAGAAAATTAGAGTGTTGTTTGTATTGGAATCATGCATACTAGATCCATGGGCAGTAGAGTAGTAGGTGGGGTATCTTCCGAGGTCTTTTGGAAAAAGAAAAGAAAAAGGAAAGAAAAAGTCATTGCAGCCTGCTCCCAAGACAAGAGAAAAAAAAAGAAAAGAAGCCAGTCTACAGAGTGAGTTAAGGGAGCTCGGGAATAGGCCCTGTGTATGCCGGAAATTGGACAAAGGAAAAGAAGGATGGTGCCGTGGAAAAGTTTCCCAAGAGGAAAGGAGAAAGGAGGGGGGTGGGATGGTAAAGATGACAACTTTCCCCATATATGTATGTGTGTGCGTGTGTGTCTGTGAGCCAAACGCCGAGTGATGCAAGTATGCCTTCGCTTGCCCCATCCGATTCATAAGCTGGGGATGGATGATCCCCGCAAGGTACAATCATGTCCATAACGTCCTTTCCGGACATATATCCCCGGAGAGCCGGAGAGCAATCATGAAAAAGAAAAAGGAGATTTAAGAAAGGAAAAAAGAATGAGTGAGAAGAGAGAGGCTGAGAGGCTGAATGAGATGCAGAACGGTACAAAGTTTTGGCCGTCGACTCGAGGAGCATGTCACTTGCGTTAGGCAACGGCTGCGGGTGTGCTAGAGTCGATGATGACCTTGCGCTGTGGCGGCTCAGCAAGGATGAAGTCGACGGCGGGCCTCGAGATTTCCAGGCTTCTGCTGGGAATTCTCCCTCCGCCAGGGGTTCTAGGGTTTACGACGTTGACTCGTCCAGTCCGCTCCGTTAGCCGCTGTGGGCCTACTACAGCCAAGGTGAGACCATCACTATCCGAGTCGTCGTCTTCTTCCTCCTCGGGGCTCTCTTCGTGGGTGTCGGGATTGGTGAACCCGTGCGCGGCGAGGCGAGCAAAGTAGTCGGCAAGCCCATCAACACTAGGTGTGCCGATGATTGTGTCATAGCGGGGAGGTGGTGTCAGGATAGAGCTAGCGTCGATGCTATTCTGGCGGTGGCGATCATCATCTGCTGGCGGTGGTGGCTCGTCTGCGTCAAACTCTGGAGGTCCAAACGACGGTACACGAATGAGGTGAATGGGCCGCGAGTGGCCTACCGGCTCGATTGCCGAATAAGGTCGCGGTCGGCCGCTTGCAGTACGCATACGCGGGTCTGGCAACGAGGTCCTGGGGGAGCGAGGAATATGCTCCTCGCTCAGCGACAGAGACGCAGAGTCGGTGCAACCACACGCGCGCTGGACGTAGGATGACGCTGGATCGAGGCCGCTATACTCTGGGAGATTGGTGTTTGTCTGCGTGGCGCGGCAGTTGAGAAGGGTGATGGGGAGTCGATGCTAATCTCAAAGTGCCGTCGCTTCGTGCCCGTGGGGTCCTCGGGGTCAGCGCGAGAGACTCGCAGCACAATCTGTGAAAAAGTTAGTATATAGAGGTCCTGGAGTGTGATCCGCCTGGCGTGACTTACCCTAATCCAGTGGTCGACCGACACATTCTTCCAGCTTGAGTCGGGGTGGAGGATTAAATTGTTATCCTTCTTCATCATCTCGCAGGTCGGGATTTGGACATTGGCCTCAATCTCGGTTGGTCCCCAAAAGTTTTCCAAGCCAAGATCAAGATCACCCAGGAGGTTGTTTGATGGCTCGGGGAGCGGCGCAGATGGAGAGCCTCTCCTAGCGGCCTGCATCGAGTTGCGCGTCGCAGCCACCTCGCGAGCGGAGCGGCGCTCTCGCGGCGATAATTCACCGCCGCTCGTCGTTCTCAGCTCCGCACCAAGACTAGTGTCCATCGGCTTCCCGGCCGTTTTTTCGAGCAAAAGAATCTTGCGCCCGGGTTCGCGCCGCGTCACCATGCGGTTGTTCGTCCAATACTCGATTGACTCGGCAAGGTAAACGCGGATTTTGTATACTTGCACCTTGGCTAGCGGCGTGAATTTGAAAGCAATGGGCACCTTGGACCCAATGGCAAATGACTTTCCAGACACAACGATGTCGTAGTGGAGCTGGTCGTCCCACTGCCGGCTGATGGAGATGGGCTCTGTCGTCTCGAGGGATAGTTGATCTGGCACTCGTACAATCGAGACTTCCTTGGTACCGCTCAAGTTGGGTCGAAAGGGGCCGTGACGTTCCACGTTGGCCTGCAGCTCCCATTTGACGGATCCAAAGGGAGTTTGGTGGTCTCGAGCTGGTGATGGTCAATGGGCAGCTCGAAAGAGTACTCGTAGGTTCCAGGGCGAAAGATTTTGTAGCCCTTGGGATTAAGCGCTAGGGGCTTGATTACTGGCACCTCACTATGGTCGAGGCTTCGGGGACGGACAGATCGCAGTTTCAACTTCTTGAGCTCCTTTGCGCTGGCGGCGCTGCGGCGAGAAAACGGCGGCGAGTCGAGGGTTAGAGGAATCGATCGCAGGGACACGTGCGTGCTGGCGGTATCCGGCAACTCGTTCTTGAGCGAGTACGAGCACTGGTTTCCGTATTCCGTCTCCCAGCCATCGTTGGTGGCGTCGAAAAAGTGAGCACCTGCGTTCGCAGCGAATCCTCCTCCCACTCTTGCAATCTGAGCGGGGATGCCTTCAGGCCATTCTGTCCTCGTCTTCCCTGCTAACTTGAGCTGAACGGTTCGAATCTTGACGTTTTTCGTGATGACGAGCTGCAGTTTTCCGCGCAACAAGGCCGTACCAGTCGGGCGGTTACCGCGTCTCGCTCGGCCATCGTGATCGAACCCGGCCAGAAACACGTTGGGCTCGGCCATCAAAATCGAGCATACCATTCCGCTGCTGGAAGCCACGGGCTTATGAATGGGGACGACATCCGTGCTGAACTGAGGTTTAGGGGCCCGGGCGGACACCATTCGGTGGCGAGGGGAATCGCGTAGAACGTCCCGGTTGTGGTTGAAGGGGGTCGCGAGGCGACCATGGAAGCTGGGCGTGTCATTTGGGATTCATGCAAGTCGCTCTTGTTGATAAGCCAGTAGGTTGAGAGGCTCCTTAGGAGCTTAGCAAATGCTCGTCGATGCTTCGGAACCGACGCGGAAGGGCTCGGTTGGCGATTTGGTCGGGGGAGCAAGCCAGCCGATAGTTGAAGCGTGGCGATCGTGCAAGAGAAGCCGGCGCGCTTCCCGCTGTTGGGTGGCGCTTCTAGATGACTTTGCGCCGCGTTCGGTGCGATTAACCCGCGAGAGAAACGATACTCTTGGGCTCGATCGGTTACTGTTGGGCGTGTAGTCGGATGGGAAGCGAACGACTCGAACAACGCGGCGTCTTCGAGGGCGGAGGCGGAGTTGGGGATTAGGAAAAGGATGCCGTGAGGAGGGGACGGCCGGGGTGGGGCTTTGACGGGCAAATATGCGACCGTCAGAGGACGCCCAGAGAACAGGGCCAGAGGTGGTGGTTACTTGGTCTGCCATTGAGAGTTAAAAATCAAGGTACAACCATGAATATGGTAGATGAAGGGTGATGGATGTTGCCTCCCGTCAGGTGAGGGACGGCAGGAAAAAGAGGGTGTCGTTGTCTTGGGAAAGATCAAAGGGATGCGCGAAGGGCAAATGCTTATTTCGCCCGCAACCTCATCATGAGTCTTCAAAGAGGTTGGTGGGCTTGAAAGTCAAAGAAGCAGCCTTGAGCCAAAAGAAGTGATGTGGTGCCAATCATGCGCCGATGTGCATCTCAGGCAGGAAACCTAGTGATGTCACAAGACATGGGAGCATGAAGGCGGGCAAGGCGGATAGACGCAGAAGGGTGGGTGAATGGGAGGAGCCAGATCAAGACGAGCCACCTCGAAGAGAAAGGAGAGTCGTCTGCAGGGAAAAGACAACCCGACGGCGACGATGAGGAGGAGAATATATTTGGAGGGAGGAAAGACGAAAAAAAAAAAAAAAAGAGGAGGGGAGAAGAGAGACAAGAGAAAGAAGAGAGAGAAAGAGGAGTGGACTTACTATTTCCTAGCGAATTTCTTCTGCCAGACTTGACCGAAAGCTGGGTGACTGCGAGGGGAGCAGAAGGGTCGGTGGCTAGGATAGGTGCGTAGCCGTTCCGTGGACGTGCGCCGCCTCGCGTGTTCTAATGCTACCAAAAGGGTGCAAGCGGGTAGTTCTGTCGAAGCGCTGGGCCAATGTTTGCCAGGGTAGACTGGATAGGTACACGGTGAATGGATCTGGCCAGTGGGTGGTTGGACTGCAGCGCGTTCCAGAAAGGAAAAAGAGACACCAAAAACCGACAGAGCTGCGGAGAGTTGCAGCAAGGTCAGAAGGGCGGTGATGGTTGGCGCGGTGAAGACAAGAGAGAAGACAGGGTAGCCCTGGCCCAGAGCCCAACTAGGCTTGGTCGACAGGAATTGGGGGCCTGTTTAAGGAATAGTGGGTGGTGGTGTCAAGGGCTTGGAAGGAAATGTGCTTATTGAGGCCCAAGCAACTCTTTTTCTGTCGGGTTTTCCGTTTTGCTGATGCTGCTGAACAATGAGTCTTAAATCGGCATCGGCGATAGGTGGATTAGTGGATGGACGGGACGAGTCCGAGCCCAAAAGCGCAAAAGCGAAGCCCGAGTGCTAGGATCAACAGGATCTGGATCTGGTTGTCGGGGACGGGGGCAAGACAGGTCCTTGGCCGAACTGAAATATTATTAGTGCAGCGCCCTCTACAAGATTCGTGGCGGCGACGTCCGGTTTGGGCGGGGTGGGGCGGACAGTCTGTTTCATGCGCTCGGAAGAGAGAAAATCGCAGGGCGTGCTCGAGTTGTCGCCGTAGCCTAACGGGAACCTAAGCAGGGCGTGAGGTGGCGGCTGAGTACGATGGCTGCTTCGATTTCGGGGGACGCTTTCTTGCTTTTCCGTTTTCTTTTTTCTCCCTTTCCTTCCGCCCTTTCAATTTGAGGCGGAACAAGATCGCTTCCGTTCCCTATTTGGGCTGGCTTCTAAACCAATGTCTCGCAGGTCGGTTGATCTGTGCTTTAGTGACGGTAGTTGCAAGGTTTCGGGGAACCAGCTTCAAATTTGCGAGAGGGGGAATTTAGAAGGTGGGGGATGATGGGGGTTAGATCCAGGTGCTGAAGCGACAATCACAGGTCGAGTCGAGGCGTCGAGGCGTCGCGGCCGTCTTCCTGTGCTCGCAGCGGCGGGCACAAGCTAGTCAGGACTAAGAGGCGAGGACAAGGACGAGGCTGGATTAATCAATTGTTGAGTTGAAGAACGAGGAAGCAACGGCAGGTGCGGGGACGGAAGGTTCGTTCTTTTTAATGCAGCGGGTGTTCCTTCCACGTCTTGGCCGGCCCAAGAAATGCTGAGTTGGGGATTTGTGTGGTGTAAGTTCAAAGGCGGCAAAAGGGCTTGTGAACTGCGAACGGCAGTCGCGGATGGCACTCGGATGGTGCGAATTCAGTCGGGTAAAGTGGAGGAGACCCCAGCCCGGACGTGTGGCGTCACCGGTTTTTTGGTTAGAGCAGGATGGGCGTGTGGGCTCAAGACCAGATTATGCTCGAAATCTCGACACGACGAGGGAGCAGAAGATGGAAAAGAAGGGGAAGGGGAGGGGAGGAGAGAAGAAGAAGAAGAAGAAGAAGGGACGATACAAGGACGAAAAAAAAGGAACGAAGCAGGTAAAGAGGGTCGAAAAGGATAAAATGGCAAAGGGGTAAAGAGGACAAAAGTCAAAACAACAGTGATTTTCTCAAAAGGCAGACAAGATTATGCGGATGCAAATGCAGGTATTTGATGTATGGCCCAGGCGGCAAAGTGAAGCGCAAGTTACGAGCAGGGTGCGCAGGGAGCATGCGACTCGACAGCCAGGAATCAGGAAAATCGAGACCCGGCTCCATTTGATTTTCATGGAAGAATGGGCTACCACTAGACGGTGTGTGTGGGCTGTGGGCTGTGGGCTGCGTAATGCTAGTGTACAGTTTTGCGAATTTCAAGGGATACAAGCGCACACAATTCACTTGCGTGGCGATGGGATGGTAACAGGAACAGCATCAATCAAATCGATTGAATCGAATTCGAATCTTGACGCAGCAGCCAGGACGGAACTGTATCAGGCACACACGTGGGGTAGCAAAGTAGCCTGGAGGCGTTTCCGTTCCCCCAAAAGAACTTGAACATTGGAAAGCACACACACGCCGCACTGTTGGCTGGAACGGAACCATGCAGGCTGATGCCTTTTTGTTCCTTTTTTCTTTTTTCTTTCTCAAAGTCGGTCTACAGCGATGGATATGTTCAGAACCTGATCCTTGGTTGGCCTTGGACCACCATGGGTCCCCCTTGGAAGGTACACTCCGCTCCGAAAATAAAGTGTTGGCAGAGGCGATGGAGACGGTGGAGGGGGGAGGGGCATCCATAGACGCTGAATGAACCGGAGCAGCCGGCGAATGAAACGGGCGGGCTGCAATTGAAACCAGGTTCACGGTCCAAACCATTTGGGACAAATTGAAGGCTGGCCACAAAGAGAGGTCAACTGGTGAGTGCTCAAGGTGCTCTCTCTGCTCCAAGTCTATGCTCTCAGGGATGCAAGGATGACGGAAGACACTGATGAAGCACCCCCAACTTTGCCCAAAGCGAGAAAACGAAAAGAAAGAGAGAAGAAGAAAAAGAAAAAGACAACAATGTAGATTCAGGCACATGCGCACCAAAACTTAGAGAAGAAGAAGAAAAAGAAGAAAAAGAAATGAAAAAAGCCAAGGTACGGCTTCCTCGGCCCCGACAGCTCGGCTCTCTGCATCCAACACATCCTGAAATCAAGCAAAATACGATACGAATATCTGGAAATTTCAAAGGGCAGAAAGGCAGGATGACGACAACTGGGGAGGCTCGACGTCACTAGGTTGCCACGGGATGTGGGCAAAAAGCGGGCAGCGCGGATTTAACTGGGTGGATGTGGTGGGCTGGCGCGCCATCGAGTCGCGACCTCGACCTGGATGAACCGAGATGGAGGACAGGGGCAGCGGGCAGGGATTAATTGATGTGGATGGCCTGGCACACCAGGCCACAGACAAAGCAAGAGAAGAAGAAAAACCAAAGACACTCAAATTCGACAGGATCGAACGGAATCATGGATGGATCCATAGATGGATTGTCTTGTGGGGCTCCAAGTCGAATCGGAGTTGAGAGGGATTCGTCCATCGCAGAGCACTGTCCATTTAATACGATGGATATGATTTGATGGGGACGCAAACGAATCGCCCAGCCATTCAAATCATTGCTATATTTGCTTTCACTTGGAGCTAAATGGAGCCCTAGCTTGCACCGTTGCATGGATGGATCAACGGACGATGGATTGATTCATTTCGTCAGCTATATATTAGATTTCCAGCCCAAGCTGGCCAAGCTGGGCCTACATCTCTAGACTTCAATACGGATAGCATTAGGTTTGGAGCTAACAAGAACGTGATGGTGATTCCTCCAAGCCCTACGCGTACATGTAGTGGCATTTCTAGCAATTCCAGCCGAACAATTGAATACAGCGGATGTACCGAGGTAGATCCATAGATGTTGATGTAGATGCTGGTGTGGAGGCTTGTAGCCCTCCTTGATGTCCACCACCCAACGGTATATATCGAAGCTATCGACGAATCTAGTGGACTTGCGGACGAAAGTTTTTGCTTGGCGGCAACCACTGGTTTAGTTCACGTTAGTACAGGATTATCGACCCATGACAACGGATCCAAAGAAGGGATGGATATTTTAGATGGATCCATGTGTATGCACTTGAACTGAATGGATGCAAGACCGAGAATAGATAGGTGCCCCATTATTAGCTTAGAGCTCTGAAATTCAATATAGCTTCTTTGCGTCCTCTCCCTCGACAGGTATGTAACTACTACCCGGCAGTGTGCTGTTATTTGTCGCATTTAGCCAGGTCTCAAAGGTACTCAATACCTGGCACCTGCCGAGAAACCCAAATTCGGGGCCACCCCCAAGATCCAGATCTGACCCATCGACCTGATCCAAACCATTGTCGGCTTTCGCCCACTGATCCTGATCCACCTGACAGTCACGTTCGCTTGGGCCAGGGACAAAAACTAAACAGCTCTGTTCACAACGGCATCGTAAATTCTTCAGCGTTTGCCCTTCGCGTATCATGCCGGGCGATCCTTGTCAAGATCACATAAGCTCCCAATGTCCAATATGCCCCCCAACGATGTTGAAACTATACACGTCCAGTCCCGGAGAGGCAAGTCACCGTTTTGTCCAGACCAAGAAAGGAAGGCAACCACTCGCTCCTTTGATTCAATTTTCAGGTCCTTGTCCGTGAAGTGAATATAATATTATGGCTCCCTAACCAAGGGAATTGTTCAAGTACGTCGGAAACAAAGTTGTTGCTTTGGCAAAATAATCTCGCAAGCGCTGAGCCTCAAGGGGGTGGGTGCCTTTGTAACCTCGAGTCAAGGCACGTCGGTACAAGGCCGAAGTGCAGTGGCTCACGGTCGCATTCCGTGACACGGAAACCCTGCATCGACGCGAGGATCTGATCTTTTCTGTCGGAGCATTTCGAAGCCGTCATCTGATACACGAACAGCGACGCCTCCTCGTTCGTGGTTCCTCCTGTTCAGCAGCAAAGAGGGCACGAGGGCCACCACCTCTTGCATCGGAGCGGGTAGCTTCCGTACAAAGATAGGTTGAACATGATAGCAAAGATAATGGCGAGCAAAGTGTTTTCAACTCTTTTTTGTTGGTGGTGTCGCAAATAGTTAATATTCTCGCTTCTTTTCCCCATGTCTTGCCCCCTTCCCGTTTCGGGCACGGATACACCGTCAATGTGTCAACGCCGCCACTGTCCTCCGTCTGCAGTCGTGCCAAGAAGAGGAAGAGGCAACCTTTATTGCAAATGATGGGCGACTCCGTCTCACCTTGGTAGGCCTGGCTAGGTCATCTTCTTGGCAAAGAGCAGGAAAAGGAAAACACCTGGTAGCATCATGAGCATACGAGCATGAGAAGATGGAGGTCTACGGTGAACCACGTGGAGGAGTCAAGGTCGCGAACGTGGTTCCAAATCCTCGAGGTCTCAGGCTAGCCTCATTCAGAAATCTATGAAGCGGGGAACAGGACACACGGATGCGTAAAGAAGCACTTGAAATGTCCGCGTCGAATAATTATCATTTCCTCGAAGAAGCTTGCTTCCTCGGTGAGCTTGGCAGTAATGCGGCTGGCGTTCTCGACTACCTCGAACCTGTACCAATCATCAGCTATCCTCATCCCGAGGTAGAGAGAGCAAGGAGCAGGCACTCAGGCACGCAGACACTATGCCGTATAACAAGAGGGTCTGATGGACGCAATTTGTATTATACAATGAAGCAAAAGAGGGTGGCCAGGGTCAGAGCGCGGGTTCAACCCCATGCCATGCCCTGTCAACCTCCAAGGGATGGTTACAATGCATTCTCCAGGATTCATCGTTTCTGTCGCCTCTCAAAAAATAGACTCAACCCGAATGGCTCCATCACCGTTGTCGAACGTCTTCTCCTGCGTGTCCCGCGCCACCACCCTTGTTCGCCCCATCCTCGCTCCATTCTTCCGTCCAGTCCGTCTGCTCAAGTTCCATTCACCACCGCCCGCCACGATGCCCGCAGAGGCGGTTAAACGAAGAGGCGGGAAAGGGGTTTCGAGGGAGACAGGCCTGGTCCGTCAGACCTTGCGCAGCGTAGTAACCGTTGAGACATGATGGTGAGCGCGGTGTGTCCTATTATTGCCCGCCAGCACCACTTGCTTCGACACGTTGACCGTTGGGTAAGATGCCCAAAGATGGGCCCGCTCCCTTCAGTCAAATGATTCGAGCGACGCATGGGCTTTAAACATGAGTAAAACGTATTATGGCCTCCCTCCCCCGGCCGCGTCTCCAAAGCTAAAACGAGCAGCCACATACACCCAATGTAACAGACCCTCCCTCGTTTTGTGTTTCTTCTATTTATCCTTTGGATTCTTCTCTCTCTCTCTCTCTCTTTTCACGCTTTGTAATATGCCGTAAGGAGGGGAGGCGAAAAAAGGGTTCGACTCCGAGTCTTGGCCTCCTATGATTGATGGATGCATCGCTGGGAAAATGGGTCCGTTGAGTCCTATCCGTCCTGCGCCCGCAGGTTCCAGGCCAGCACAGAGCTTCTCGTCCAAGGCCGTCTGGAAGCCAAGCCAGCCGGTCTCCCCCAAGAACAAAACAGCCCCAAATCCACACCTTCCAAAAAGAACCAGAAGACGATGCGAGGGCACGGACAAAGCCCCCCTCTGTGAAAGATGGGGCCGCGGCCCTCGCACTCGGAAGGGCCTGAGAGTGGAAGGGGAAACAGACAAAGAAGAAGAAAAAAAGAAAAACAAAACAAGAATTTGAAGGGCTCGTGCAGCGAAAAGAGAGAAACCCACCCCCTTGCTCTTTGCTCCAACACATCTGCCGCATCGAGAATGGCTGGGTGGTCCCTGCCCGATCTTCTCTGCTCGAACCCGCCGCTTCGCTTGTTCTCTGGAATTACCACTTTCGGACAGGCCGTGAGCTGGAGTGAGACGGGGCGGAGACTCTCCTCGCAATTTTGTTCACCTTGAAGAAAAGGCAACGAACAATGGGCGAGATGAGATGAGCGGGAAGCTAATGACAACGGATGCTCCGAAAATGGTGGAGCTTACCGACGTCCTTCCACTCTCACAACAAGGCCGCTAGCCCTTTTCTCTCTTCTTTCTTTGGCTCTTTTCCTTTTTTCCCCCTTCTCAATGATGAGGCAAAAGAGAATGGTGAGTGCGGCCGCAAGATCTAGAACTTTGCCATGTTAACCTGAGACTCACGTATACTTGTAGGTTACCTCAAATCCTGCCTCTTGCCTCGTGCCCGGTGCATATCCGGAGAAACACGGACAGCCCACTACGGCAGGTACACGGCGACTTGATCCATCAATCGCCTCCGCAGTAAGGCCGGCTCGTAGAGGAAAGGAGGTCCAGACCAGCCCCATCAACTAGACTCTCTGCCAGTGTGCTACCACTACTGGGCTTGCATGCAGCGGTGGAAGTATTACGACTCAGTTGTTCAGCTCGGCGAGGTGCAGATGGAAGCGAGGGTAGATGGTTGAAAAAGCAAACTGCTCAAGGCCGGAGAAAACGTTCATTCTAGACTCATCTTGTCCCTCGGGTCCGCCGACGAGGGTCCTGACGACGAGTCGCATTACTACGTTCGAAAGTGGCCTAGGTGCTTCTTGTCTACCTCTGTAAAATTATCTCTAAGGACTCCTATCACTATGTTTGAACCGTGATCGAGAGAAACTAGCCCAAGCTTCAGGGTCAACCCACGCGGTTGCCCAAACACAAACAATAAACCGCGTATCAACTCCATTCCCAAAAGCCCCGTCTAACCAACTATGCATCTATCGTCTTGTCTAGCGAGCCTTCCACCCCCTTCCTCAATCGGAATCCCTCTAGGATCAAAGACCTCGTCTGCATGTGCGTCAGAGGAATCTTGCGCTCCTCCCCCGTCTCCCCGCCCGCACCTCCTCCTCCGAAGCCCAAACGTACGCCTGATGCTCATTCGGGTCGATCTGCACCTCCTCGCAGCTCTCGACCTCGATCTCGAAGGAAAACTTGCACAAGATCTTGGTGCCCCTGCTATTCGTAAACACCGATCCCGGCGCCCTATCCCGCCCTTCCGTAATCACTCTCGCCAGGTGCCGCGCCCGTAGACCCGTCTCCTCCCAGAGCTCCCGCGCCGCGGCCTTGAAGAGCGTCGGATCCTCCGCGTCCGCCGCTCCGCCCGGCACTTCCCACAAGTTGGGCATCGAGTCCCCGGCCGCGCGCTGCACCAGAAGCACCCGTCCCGCCGGGTCGTAGACGTGCGCGCCGACCGCCAGCCCGTCAAAGTGCTTGTCGTTATCGGCGGCCCATTGCTGTACCGATTTGTTCCAGGCCGCGAGGGATGGGTCAAAGGTGAGCTGGAACTGCGGTACGGCGCGGGCGGGCGGCGCGGAGGTAGATATGGGGTCCTGGGAAGCCCGGCGCCGGGAGCGGAGGCGGGGATGTGCGGGGTGCTGGTCGCCATGTCGTAGGGTGAGAATGGTTTTCTCCTTTTTTTGGTGAGTGGTGCAGAGGAATTTTTTTCACTTCTGGGTAAAAGCCCGGCGGTAGGAGGTTGGGGGCACTCCACGCTCTCGGCTGCGTGGTTGTGCTCGTGGTGATATATGGATTGCGAGGTTTTGGAGAAATTTCCTTGCGTGGAGAGGGGCTCCCGCGGGAGGGCCGCGGTTGCCTAGATAGACCTGTTGGCACGGTGGATAGTTAGCTCCGTCTTATTACGAAGCCTCGTGCTTTCGCAAAATCCTCGTTCCCGCTAGAGGTGAGGCGGCACTTGAAAAACTGGATAAACTTCGAAACTTCCAATGCAAGGGAGGCCAAGGGAAACGCCAAGTTGTACAATACAAAACCGAAGATGTATACTCAGGTGGGTAGAACCAGTCTGTGGGCCGTAGGCGTGTGATCCTCCCAGGTTTAGCAGAGCCAAAGACTGCGCTTTATGGTGATTGACAAGACGAGCCGTCGCGGTCTCGCCGAGGAAATGATTTAGAAGAAGTGGATATTTGAATACAAGATTGTTTAACGAGGGGAGTTGAGGAGGGCTATGCTGAATCGAGCTGTTCCCCTACTCTTAGAGGCTGGGGGACATCCGCGCATCACTGCCAGAAAGAGTCACAGCCACAAAACAATAGTCATTCCGCCTTGCCAGACAAAGGCGGGCTCTCTTCGCCGACATCCATCTTCTCTCACTCCTTTTCCTTGTCAAGACGATATCACAAAGCCCTCTATGATTTGGGTTCTTCCCATGTGCTCCCTCAGGATTGAGCAGGACTCAGCGCACTTCAACCCGTCCGTTCCAGTGCCTGGTGCCATCCCGCTAAGAAAGCCATTCGCCATTTCTCGGATATAATCTGAAAGCAGATTCGCATCATAACCTAAGCTAAGTCATGATAGTCAAAAAGATCCGTCCCCAGCCACGAAACTCCCCTTCTCAGTAGCAAAACCCACGGCCGTGCCGCCCCTGTCTCTAGCCCAGCCCCCATTGTTGGGACTAGGAACCTGGAAAGGAAGAGAGAAAGGCGGGGAACGACTCTTGAAGCCAAAACTGTTCGATCCATCACCCAGACCCTCTCGATTTACGAGGGGACATGAGGTGAGATGAGGACGACGCTGTCACCTGCGAGGGAGAGTAAGCATGGGTGGATGTGATGGGAAAGCCCAGGGAGGGTGTTTCTTCTTACCTCGAACAAAGAGCATCTCGGCCTTGCGGCTTATGGTCTGGTTTGAAAGAGATTAGTTACCGGACATGCTTCATGTAAAGCGTCATGGGGCCATGTCCAAAGGGCTACGCTACCTTTGGCTCAGCATCAGGCTCCTCATCGTCATCCACGACGTATATCGTCTCCTCAACATCGCCAAGGACGATGTTGCAATGGCTGTCATAGCCCTATCCGTCCACCCTACGTCAGTAACCTGAACCAGAAAATGCAAAGAAAAAAGGAAAGAAGCGTGAACAGGGGAGGATCGTTCTCACATAAAGCTTCCCCTTGAGCTCTCGGTCACCCCTCAGCTTGATGAATACGACTTCGTCCAGAAGGAGCCTCACGAGGTCGAGAGGCTCGGACACGAGGTTCGATTCGTCGCCAACATCCGCCATGGTGCTTTCAACAATGGGTTCCTGAGGGGGGCGAGGTGTGATGTGGGCTTGCTGGACTAGGCAAGGCTTTGGATGGGTGCTGTGTGGTGGGGAGCTTCGATTTCAATTCTTACTTCGCCTTGTGAGACTGAGGTTGGTCAACGAGTGCCCTTAGCGATAAACACACTGTACATAAACCGGCACCACACAGGCATTTTACAGTGCATTTTGGACTGGGATACGGTATGCGTACCTTTACACGTGACCGCCCTCAATTTCTACCTCTGCGCCCTCTGAAACCATCATCTGCATGTACCGGTACATCTCTGAAGGGGAGGGCAAAGATGTAAAGGCTACTTCCACTTCCATGAAGCACATCGTTGATGGAACGTATGCATCAGGTGGGAGAACAACGGGCCGTGAGCCAGCTTTCCAAGAGAACCCCATATATTATAACAAGGCGAGCGTCTTGCGCCTCTCTGGACCCCGGGAACAACAACAGCATTGGAACAACTAGCTCCTCGCAGCATCAATCTCCACAAAGTCGCCTCGTTTTTCACGCGATGAAGGTGCGCCGCGGCTGGGGGAATCCTTGAGCCTGGCTTCGCCGCCGAGCCTTGGGGCCTTGCCGACCGGAAATCAAAAAGTGGTGTCGTGCGCAAGGGTCCTGTGGCTGGCGGGAAAGGCTTGCCCGTTGAATGACATGGTGGCGTACATCACCTCCAGCTATCAACCTGCAAGTCGCCGTCGTAGCTCGCGTCCTTTTCTATCATTATTTTTAACTTTATTTATTGATCAATATGTTCGTGAAGCGATGATTGGTGATACATTCTTTCTTTCCGTGCTTCTGAATGAAATGGAAAATGGGAAAAGTAGAGGCCTTGCAAATTTGCCAATGTCTGAAAAGCAGAGGACGAAACAGAGCCGGGGGAAAAGAAAACCACACTATGCCTAACTAAACTCCTCGCCGTGAAATGATAGAAACTCCGGATAAGCTCATAGAGGTGAGATGGAGGGTAACCTAGCCGATATGGATCAGCTGGTCCCAACTTACTTACAAGAAAAGAACCACAACACCATCCAAATACATCCCAGCTTCTTCCCCACCCTGGGCTCCCATACCTCCCCGAGGCTGGGAGAGACCGAAAACAAAAGGAAAAAGAGAAAAAGAAAAAAGCAGAGTTCCTTTGCAGGAACAGCATATTAGTGCCTGACCACTCTCTTTGTACCGAGGGGCCGGTAGTGATACGAGGGGAACGCTCGTTATTTCACAGTCTCTCGCCTGAGATCGTTGATGACCATGTATCGGCTGAACAGGATCCACAACCAGCGGAACCAGACCATCTGGCTCTGGTGGGCGTCAGTCATGGCACCCCAAGCGGCGCCGAGCGCACCACCGCCGACGAGCTGGTTCACGAACAACAGGGCCTCGGGCCTGGGCTGCTGCTGCTTCTTGTCAGAGCCGCCCCTCTTGGCCTTGCCGCCCGCGAAGCCCGCGGCAAAGGTCCAAGTGAGAAGGGTAGTGAAGATGTCGAGGATAGACAAGTATTTGCGAAAGACCGAGACCGAGGAGAGGACGTACAGGTCGACCGGGCAGGACCAGCCAGACTTGCCGCGCATGAGATCGGCGAGGAAGGTGCGGGCACCGTGGTAGAGGGAGATGTGGTTGGGGTGCGAGGAGACACCCCCGCGTCAAAGGTGACGAGGACGTCGATGGCTGCGGTGGGGGCCTCCTTGGAGGAGGAGCCGCGCATGTTGGGTGGGACAAAGGCTTCGGAGAGGAGGGCGGAAATCTTGCCGGCATCCCAGGTGGTCGTCATAGAGTCGGGGAAGTCGCTGCAAATGAGGGGCAACAGGTTAGCTTTCGTGGCAGACAAGAGAAGTAGGCCAAGCGGGTGCTTGGGGGTCTTACGGCCTGTCAACGACCCAGACGTCATCCTCTTGGCGCACACCGAGCGCCATGGCACTCTTGACGAGCTCCTTCTTCCTAGTTTCTCCCAGCCCAGCAGCGTCACCTAAGTAATTACCAGTCTCGTTAGTAACAAGGCGACAGGCGACAATGCGCGACCTTGCGATGGGTGCGCGAGGGTTATCCCCGCTTGGCGCAAACGCATATATATCTTCCCAGGTCAAGACGAGGCATCACCCACCTGAGCTAAGGCACAGAACCTTGACATGGTTCCCTGTATCGGGCTTCGTGAGCGCGAGGACGGTTGGCGCAAAGAACATGGCCTCGTCGTCCGGGTGCGCGATGAGGAGGCAAATGCGCTTGTTCTGCAGGCGGGGCACGCGCATCTGTATGACCGAGGCCGTGTAGGTGTAGATGCAGGGGATGACGATGAGGGCGGCGCCCACGTAGATCAAGAGGTCGAGCATGGCGGCAAACGGGTATAATCGTCGTTGGTACAAAGGAAAAAGGGGCCAAGGTAGAAGCAACACCTAGATGGATGGGTGGCGGATACAATGAGGGGCAAATGGAGAGAATGCAAGGCCACCCTTTGGCCAACTTCTATCACAGAGGCTATTTGTAAAAGAAGGAGAGAAAAAGAAAATAAGTACGCGAGCTCCGTTCTAGGGGAGGTGTGGCCTCTTTTGCTGGCAAAAGAGTCGGGTCGTCGTTTGCGTTGTTGGGTAAGAGCGGGATGGAGGGGCGGGTAGGTAATGCGGTCGGTGCCCGGATTTGGCGGGCGGCGGGGAGGTCGTAGTGCAGAAAAAGGGCTCTATGTGGGATTAATATCAGCGCAGGGTCGAGCAAGATGGGCAGCCGGGCTGGGAAATCCGTCGCAGTCAAGCTGGAGCTTTGGGGTTTTTGGGAGAGGTGCGCCGGGTCGGTGTTGAGGTCAAGATCGCAGAGCGCGGAGGCAAGTGTAAGGTGGGCAAGAGTCACAAGGGAAAAAGGAGGGAGAGAGAGGCGAGGAGTACATACCAGTAGATAAGAGAGGGACTGGAAGAGAGACAAGATTTCTTTGTTCGTCCTCCCGCGCGACCGGCTTGATGCCACCTTGCGATTTCGATTGAGGGGCCCCCTGGTCGGTTCGCTAATTAGCTCCTTGTCGCTTGCTCCAAGCAAGCGGAGTCCGGGGAAATATAACGACGGCGGGCCCGGCTCGCGATGAGGGTGGCACAAAAAAAAAAAAAAAGGAGAAATGAGAGCAGATTCGAGCACGGAATACGATTCAAGGCGAAGGAAATTCCTAAAGCAGCCGGAACTTGACAATTCCACGATTGGCTGGTCTGCAACCGGGAGTGGCCACCTGCGTTCACGTAAAACCAGGATGTGGGCGTCAAATAAGCTAACAAAAACCTGGGTCTCGACTTCAGTGCTAGCTTCCTTTTCCTCCCTTCCTCGGGAGCCTCCAGTAATATACTATGCCTGACGGGATAGGCTTTCTGGGTCATCTGTCAAGTGTGCGTCTTGTGCATCGAAGCGTGGACTATAGCCTCAACAGGTTTGGGGTATCGTGTACGCGGCATGATGGAATTCTAGCATCAACCATCAACGCACTTGCCCTCGATTACCGAGGTAGAGGTACTTCGTACTTGCACCATTATGCGTGGGATTGTGGCCAATAGGGCAACGTGTACAAAATGAAGCGGTGGCGACGTCATCCTTCTACAACATCTTTGATGAATTACTTCCACTAGATGGGGGCATAAACCCCCATTATTCTCTGCACTCTGAATTGGAGCTGCTCTTCTCGGCGCCGGAGGTACCCACTATTAAAAGTCACCGCTGATCAGTTCCAATACCACCCAATGGATCCCTCGACCCTTGATGGATTGATGGGGAGACAAGTCTAGAGCCTGAGATTGATCCTCATGACCAGAGGTCACAGTGCACTGGCCCTCTAAGGAGCTGCAAGCAGCCTTACATTCAGCTAGTCAGCCAGACCTACAGGTAATATCGCCGAGAGACAGCCAAATGGATTTGATGTTCGATAGAAATCCTATCAGTGGCACAGCCACCAGAGTTCCCCACCAACCCCAACCGCCAACTTGCCAGCCACACGACACCTATCCCAATCCAGGGCGCCGAAATTTGAATCCAACCATCGTCACCCTACCTCGATTTTGATCCCAATCCCCAACCCGTCCAGCCAAACCCACGCCCGCCATGGCCCGCAAGCGCAAGGACGTCAACGATCCCAAGATCAAGCTCGCCCAACCCGACCGATCCGGCCCGGATCCAACAGAGAAGACATTGTACCAATGGGCCGAGGAAAGGAATCTCTTTGAAGAGGCTCAGCGCCGTGAGGCCGCCGTGAAGAAAGCTGCGAAAAAGGACGGCAAGGCCAAGGATGGCAAGGCCAAGGCCGCCGGCGGCGGCGATGGCGGTAACGAGGGCAAGGAGGGGAGGAAAACGACGAAAATGTCATGACGCCCGGAGAAGAGCGCGTCGCCGAGGCGGTGCTCTGGACGGCCACGATTGCGATGCTGCACTTTACCCTCGACACGTTGGTGCAGCATCAGTACGCGCAGGAGCTGGACTGGCGAAGAATCACCATCCGGACAGCCCAGGCATTTGTGGGTAAGTTAGAGCAACGGCCCCACGACTACTCGAGATGTAGAGACCTAGGACGGGTTTCAAAACACACTGGAAACTTTTGGAGATAAAGACTAACGTTTGGTGTCCCTTCGTAGTCTTCCTAGGCCTCTTTACGTCCTCCACCCGCATTCGTCCAGCCCAAACCTCGTCCCTGGTCTGCCTGCCCGATTCCAACACACGGCGCGCCAAACCATCTTCCTTATCACCAGCGTCCTTTCAGGATGCTATCTCATATACATAACCAATTCGGAGGGATACCTAGCGGTGCAAAAGAAAGCACCCCGTTGGCCTGCATGTGGCTCTGGTCTGTCATTGAGCTAAACCTCGGGCTATCCGTCGTCAGTGTGGCAGCGGCAGCAGGGTTTCTTTGGTACGGGGATTATGAGATCAAATAGACCCCATGCAACTATATAGGAGCTTGGTTACGAGGCCGTGATCACGAAAGCGGGATGCGCCGCATCACGCCTTTTTTCTTTTGAGGGGATTTTGATTTTGTTCTTCTATATTCTTCCATTTGCAGTTCGTCTCTGGGACGTCATCTAGACAAGGATCTAGCTATAGAATGAGGCGTACTTGGCCTCCGCTCATGCCCTCTACTTCTCCTTTTGCTCACGTTTTCGTGTGATGCGGATAACCGCCTCGCCTTGGTGCTAATCTCGATGATGTTTTGGACCTCGGCGCTGTACCTGCTCGAATCCTTCTTGCCAATCAAGCACACCATATCCTCCAGCTTCAGCGTTTCCTCACGCTGTACCGTCATGGACCTCTCGAGTCGGCCCAGCGACTCCGAGTTGACCGATTCCATCCACTTGACCCTCGTTTCAAGATCTCGTATGCGGCTAAGTGTTCGGGTTAACAGGTCAGCCTTGCCCTCGCGTAGAGCCGTTACTTCAAGCGTAAAGACAAACTCTCTGAGAAGCCGGGTTCAAAGTGGAAACTTACGAGGAAACCATGCTCATCTGCGCAAACTGCACCCTTCCCGTCAGCGCGTCCCTCTGCCTGACGAGCTCCAGCGCCTTCTTCCGCACCGGAAGCCAGGAAATGGCGATCCCAGACCCGAGCGTCCAGCTCTTCGGCACGACCGTCCAGCTCTCGCCCCTCCGCCGGTCGCTGTCCGCGGCCCTCAGCTCCGTCTCCTCCACAATTTCGAGCAGGCGCTTCTCAAGCCTCCTCAGGTCATCCATCACGTACGCGTACATCTGGTATTCGGGGAGGAAGCGCTGGCCCGGGGCTAGGTGCGTGCGAAAGTGGTCCGCGTCAGGCTGGTCGGCGATGGATTGCCGGTTTCCCGGTTTGGCACCGAGGCCGCCGTTTCCGTTCAGGGCGGCGGCCTGTATAAGCTTTGCGAGCCATGTCGACTCTGTCTTGTACCACGACAGCGAAGCCTTGACGCGGAAGTACTCCTCATCGCTATTGCGTAGGTAGCTGATGCGGGCGTATATGGCGGCCGCAATGGCGACGACAAAGGTCAGGATTCCAACGACGTTAGACGCGATAGACAGCGGGCTGTCCTTCTCGTCCACGTCCATCGAATATTCCAATTCTTTTTCCCTCACCCAAAGAGCCTTCTCTTCTCTCTGAGAGGCGATGGGAGTTTATTTGGCAGCTACGTCTAGTGGGGGAAAGGAATTTTGCGGTGTGCCTCATTCCTCCATGCAATGGGGAGCGACGTCGGAAAAAGAACTAGTATCGCGTTAAATGAAGATGCGCGCGTCTTCGTCATGGGCAGGCGCATCCTTCAGCTCATTTTTGCTTTGATCTGATTGAGCAATTCGCAACCACAGCTTTGACAGCCCTACCAACTCCCGCTAGTTGGGTGGGCGTTCTATTACCAATGCTCACTACCCCGGAAATTATAAACCATTCATGTTGATAGAAGAGCCCTAGGTTGAAATCAATTCCCAGATAAGCGGATGTAGTTGAGATGTGATCGAACGTCTTATATTTAGCGACTCGCCCAGGGTAATAATAACCAGCTTCCTGGGCACACATTGAGACTCTTGTCGTCCTTCCCCAAAGCGAAAGGCGCCCCGACTTTCTTTAACACGCACAAGAAGGCTTAGGTGTTGAGTTCATAGACCGGATTAATCCATGGATGCATACATTTTTGACGAGTTCGAATAGCTTGGTGGCCTTTGTAGTACTATAGAATATCTTTTTAGCGCCGACTCCAGACCTTTGCTCGCGAGTTTTCCTCCCCTTAGCTAGTTGCGATATATGTAAGCCAGAACGCAGGCCGTAGCAGGCAGATGTCCGCCCGTTTACATCGACGTGTAGGCGGATAGAAGAAGCATCTCCGAAAAAGAGTAGAGTATCGAAACTCCAATCTCTAAGTTTGGGGTGGTTTTGTGTTGTTGTTCGTTGTCTGTCCTCCACGAACTTCTATTCCTGCGATGGAAGCGGGAAGCGGGAAGGAGGATTAGAGTCGAGTCTTACAGGAACGAGAAGGTGCGACCAGTCCCTTGCGACGTGGTCCGAATTGATCCATCACGCCTTGGTGAGTCGATGAATTGTATAACAAACAAGTTGTTTCTTCTCGCTTTCTTCTTCACCTACATCTCCATCAAGTTCACCTTCATTCGCTCTCTACCTTGGGACACGAGATATCACCCGAGCTGTCACTCCTAATTATATCCACGAGTAAGTTGTAGTCACGGCCTCCAAGCCTCCATCATAGCGGCTATCCCTTGATCCATAGATCTCTGTACCGTTACACGGTTCAATAACGCAAGCCTCCCTCCCTACCTCAATTGTCTATGGCAAAATCGAAGTTGCTTGCTGGCGCCGCCCCATTCCGCAAGCCTCAGTTTCTTAGCCAAATCCTCTACACTTTCTAACAGTCCAAAGACCTTAAACTAGACATCTTCAGAATCAGCTCTCCTCCTCATCACTACTTTGCCTCTTCCACCCTACGCCGCTACAAAATGCCAGGCTCCGACAACTGGCGTCCATACACCATCCCCCATTCGGGAGAAGGCGCCGTCCGACGATCCGACGGCTCCTGGGTCCCCTCCTCGCAGGTTCTAAACATCCCTCTGGCACCCCATCCGCACATCGACACCTCATCATTTTCGCCAACTTCCTCCCCCAGCACTTGTGGCGTTCCCTCTGCAGCCATGAACACGACCGCGACCGCCGCCCCTAGGCCCAGGGCAGCTGCTGCGCCGCCACTGCCGCCGGTCTCATGTCTATGCCTGTTGACGTACACGCCGACAAGGGTGCCGCGGGCTTGGAAGGTGGAGCTGTTCATCCCAGGTTTTCGGGCGATCACGGGCCCGGGGCGGGCAAGGATAGGCCTGCCTCCCTCTACTACAGACTCGAGCCCAATTCACAGAGAGGCGCTGACTCTATCTCGAGCTAGATCTACTGATTGGCTCTTACATTACCCCTAGGTCTTTGGTTTTTCAGCTAGCATTCCGAAGACCGCCTCCTTGTCTATGTTAGCCCATCAAGATCCTAGATAGACAACTTATAGATAAAAGGCCTCTTCATTTCCATAATTTCTACTTGCTACTCTCTCAGAGACCTTATTGGTCCCCTCTGGGGGCCCGTGAAGACGGCCCTGAGTTGCTTTGCGCGCAGCTACCCCTGCTCCAAGCTTCCTTTACGCAAAAGCGCTGCAGTGATGTCACCTTTTCCCTCTCCATCGTTTAGTCAGCCTCCCAAACGTATGCGTTGATCTCCATTACACGCCCAACTTCAACTAGAAGCAACATGCATCTTTAGCCAACATTGCCCGGTATCCCTCCTATTTTTTGTTTTCTCACACCCTCAAAATGTTCGGCCGAGCTCGTTACTCCTCCTCCTCAAAAGTAGGAATGCGGCACTGAAGAATGATGTTGCGCGTTCCCGACCGCCGGGCCTCGCGTATCTCCCGCAGGACAAGGAGAAGGCTCTCCTGCGTCTCGAGGAGCGCTTCGTGCGTGGTATTGAGACGTTCCTCTGTCCTGATGAGGCGTTCGTTGGTGTCGATGACGCGCTGCTGCATGTCAACGATGGCTTGAAGCAAATCTTCCGTCTTGGGCGTCCCCAGCGGCGGAGGGGCGGGGCGGTGCTGCGCCGGAGCGGCTATGTACGTGGCGGTTGTGGGTTGCGCTGCCGCGGCACGATCGCTTCGCTTCTTCGGCTTTGAAGGCGAGATCCTACGGGTAAGGCGTCAAGTAAGGGCGTTAGCGTGTCTGAAGCAAGAGAGAAAGAAGCCAAGAGGACAAGGAGGGGGGATGGGAAAGCAAAGAGAACCCCCACCTCACGGTTTAACATGGACTTGTCCACGTCAAAGGTGACGTAGGCTTCGCAAAACGCGGAAACCACCGATTGTGCGTCGACGGGGATATCGACGCAAGCGCGTTTCGCAGCGGCGCACTTGGCGCATCGAGTCCCAGATCCTTTAGGCCCGTAAGTCTCTGATTCAGCGTCCTTTTTTCCACCTCTGCACCACGTTCGTCTTGGATTTCGTGCGCGTACACGAAAGAACTCACCTGACTGCCGGTAGCACTGCTAATTCATATCGGCGGTAGAGAACCTATTGACACATGTAACGCAAGGCGGCATCCGACGACGAGCCGCGGGCGTCATATCGTCCAGCTCATCTTCCGAGCCGTCGGAGACCGATGTCCTCGCGCGCTTCCGTCCCTTGGGCGTCAGCGTCGGCGTGGGCGTGGGGGTTGGACGGGAGGCGTCGCCTTTGGCACGGAGGCTGGGCTTTCGACGCCCACGGTCGCGCAGGCGGTCGCCGGTAGCTGGTTCTCGGAGGACGGACTGGGTCTGGGGAAGGTGTTGGCGCACGACATACTGGGCGGCGAGTGGATGGGAGGGGCTGGTGGCGGCAGCGTTGGGAGTGGCTCTGGACGAAGAGTGCCGTAGGAGAGGGGAGGGAGGGAAAGACGTAAGAGGGATGAAATAGACCTCTGGCATAAGTACGATGTTGGTTTGCTCTGCTCCCTGAGGAGTTCCCTAGCCCCTTGTGCGAGGCTGGTTTGCTTCCTCTTGCTCTACGGCCTAGTGAATTAAGGGATGGGAGTATCGGTAATGCGCGAGGAGTGGCGGCTGTTTGTGGTCCAAATACCTTTGAACCACATGCCTTTGGCCGCCATATTCTAGTGTGACCCTTAGCAAGTGAGCAGCGCGATCACAAGGGCTTTAGAGGTTTACAAGGAAGGATATCCGGTTCGGAGCACTTTGATACTTTTTTTCTTTCAATTTACGAAATAGTCCCAGCCATGGCTCGACATCCTTTGGCTTTCCACTATCATAAGAATAAAACCCCCTTTCCATATCTCGTCCATCTCACCGTTGCTCTCGGAAAGTAGACAAAGCCATCAAAAATATCTCGTAGAGAGGTCCCTACTTGGTGACGGCCTCTTCGCCCTCCTCCTCCTCCTCCTCTTCTCCCTCCTCCCGAGCAAGCACATGGTCCACGCAGATACTCACACGCTCCAACGCCCGAAAAATACCCGCCTGAAAGCCCGTGATCCTCGCCAAAGACTCCCGCATCACCTTCTGCATATCCGCGATGCCCTTGTTCTGCTCGGAAATAGTCTCGAGGCAATCGGCCAGCGTGTTTTGGCACTCGGAAATGACCTCTAGGCTGTTGGCCGCCCGCTTCTCCGCACCGGCCAACACCTCTGTGTTCTCTGCAATGCGGTCCGCGCATTCGGCGATGCCCGCAATGAGCTGAGACATTGTGGGCTTTCGATGGCTGGTGGAACCCGCGGTGGCCCCCGACACTCTCGGCGTGGGGTTGGCGTCGGGTCGGAGACGCGAAGGGTGGCTTGCCCCAGCTGGAAGCGGACTTGATCGGAAGTTCCGCCGGGGAGACATGCCACCTTGGCCGCGTGCGCCTTCATTGCAAGATTCTACAGAAGGTCATCAGCACTCGAATTTAACACAAGCTCGGCTCAGGCGCCTCAGAAGGACGAGCACTTACCGATGAAGATTCTTCAGACTTGCTCACTTCGTGCGAGAGAAAGGCATGCACAAGGTTGTTCACAGCTGGCTGGGCTTGAGCCTGTGGCTTGGTACAAGTTATACCCTTGTCAAGGCAATTGAAGCAAGATGTATCATATCCTACGAGCCGTTAGCCATCTTCCTTGGTAGCCCCCGGCTTCATCTGTTGGGGGCATGAGGGGGGCAGGGACGATCTCGAACCGGGCGACCAGTGGCACTCCTAGGCCAACGTAGACGTCGAAAAGATAGCAACGCAATTGACGCAAGGAGGAATCTCCTCGGGCCCTTGGCAGTTTCAAAGATGTCGTCGGAAGTGAGCGGATCGATGGGGGACCTGGGCCTCTTGTGGCGGCTACTCGGGGTCAGGGCGGCTTGGCCAGGAGCGCCGCCTGTCGAGGAGGCGTGTAGGGACTGAAACATGTGAGAATCCAAACTATGAAGGATAGCCACCCAAGAACATTCTGTGGACTGGGAATACATACATCATTCTTCTGGAGTGAGAACTCAGCAGGTAGGGGTCGGAGCCTCGTGGTTTGGTGGTTTGGTGGTTTGGTGGGTTGGAAAGGGTGGGAGTGAGGATGATCAAGTCCAAGCCTGGCAGCAAACAAGAGGGAAAAGGTACTGGTTTTATTTCCATGCGATCCTCAACTGGTGGATGCGCATGTAAAATATAGAAGTAGGGGCATTCACAATGCTCCTACCTCTTCTTTAATCTTCTTTCTTCATCTCCATCTAGATTAGTGGAACGCACTTTGTGCCCCCATAGGTAGATGGAAGATGTGGAGAGAAGGCATGATCACAGCGTCTATCCTTACAAGTCAATGCCCAATTTTGCAAGTCAATTTCTTCAACTAGAAAGGAGAGGACTGCCAGGCCTAGGTCTAGGCTCAACTAAAAAGAAAGGCTAGTGAGAAAGACAATGAATGCATAATGCATGGCTGAGGAAATGTCCAGACTACTCTGGACCTCCAAGCGCTCTTTTTTTCCTTTTTATCATCGCCGAAAAAGAATAAACAGAATAGCAACGAAGCCCCTTCGCTGGCGGCCAGAGTTTGGCTCCCTTATACTCTCGAACACCCATGGTATATCTTGTCGGGCGCAATCCACGCTAAACCGTGGCAACCACGCACCAGATCGAGATCACAGGAAACCTAACAGGGTATGCTGAATCGCGAGTGCCTCCAAGGAAAAAAGCCTAGCGTTGAGCAGTGCCATCTCCTCCTCGACATGTCGCATAATGGCAATATTCCGCCTGCTCGTGGCAAAGATTTGGGCACCAGACTCTGGGTATTGGGCGAGCTGTTCTCTCATCCCGCTCTCGGTCGTGACAATCCAGTCGGGGAGGGCCGCACGTTGGTCCCTAATGACGAAAATCCGCTCTTGAATTACGTCCGCCGGGGCCTCTTCGTCGGGCTCGTTGGAGCGCCCGGCGATAGCCCGGCACGTGTCAACGACCGCTTTGGCACTGGTAGTAACAGCCTATCAATATAGCGACTGGTTAGAGCTCGATCGACGGATTTGAAAAAGGGCGGGGCTGCGTGCCTCTGCGTTCAGGATAGTTGGGTCCGCCTCCCAGTCGTCCAGGGCCGTGGCAAACTCAACGATGGGAATGAACAAGGCCAAGTTCGGGTATACGCATTCTGTGCCCGAGGCTGTGCAACCTAGGCACTTGCCCTCATCTATACTCTTGTTCAGTTAGATGCCCTTGTGTATGGGGGATGCATAGGCACTGGGGACGGACCTTCTGCGAAGTGGCAAGGCCATGAAAAGTGGTCCAAGTCTATCTTTTCGATGCAATGACCGCAAGGGACATCGCTCGCGCGGAGTTCAAACGTTGTGTCTGGAGGCCTATCTCTGGCTTGGATATAGTGGGAGTTTCCATTGAGCTGAGGTTCGTCGAAGTCGCTAAACTCGAATTCGCTTTGGCCATCGATATAGTCTCCGTCGCCATTTACCTCTGGTGGCAGCTGAGTATTATTTCCCGCATCGTACCCGTTGTCTGAGCTCATATTGTAGGGCTATTTCTTAAGGATAGTTAATATGCCACGGTAGCTTCGAGTCGCCGAGTGGAACAGGAAAGACTACTATATGAGTATCGGTTAATGGCTGGCTGTGAACAACGCTTCAGGTAAGGCTGGTGGAGTTGGTGTTGATGAGAATGAGAATGTTACGAGAGCCCGATGTTTAGAATCTATCAGAACAGTAGAAATAAGCCTCTGTTCAACACTGAATCACTAAATATGTAATGAAGTTAGGGTCTCGTTTTTATGACTAGGATCAATTGGAAGGCGCATCCAAGCAATAGCTAGGATGCTGTAGGCTAGGAAGCTGCAACCTAGGCTGTTACTAGGAAAAGGACTGCTTTCTAAATGTCCTCTAGATATCATACAAGAGAAATCTTGGAATCAAGTAGGTTACAGCAGTATCTCTGAACGCTAATAGGGCACTCACCCCTTTTGATTGTCTCTATCTTGGAAAGACTATTGAGGTTCATCAGGATCCCATCGTATATTCAAGGATCCTACGAGCAGGAGTACCATACACGCTAGGAAGTCCTGCCATTGTATTCAATCTCGCTATTTGGGTTTCTCAGTAGGACTAGCCAACATCATAGGATACTGTCCCCATTCTCCATATACCCATTCTAAGACGACCGCGGCAGGTTCACCGAGGCACCACTCCTGCGAAGGATCCCCAGCTCTATAAGGATATTCTCTTGCATCCTGGTTACCCGCTCGTGAAGCCTAACAACACGTAGCTGGGCCTCCGCGAGAGTCTTCAACGTCAGTTCAAGCGAGTGGCTCTTGTGAGGCTCGTCGTTGCCAGGGCGGTGATGGCCTTCGCTCTCTCGGCAGGCTCGATGGGCACTTTCCAGCTTCCCTGTAGGTCCTACAAGTTGAATAGTCAGCAAGGATGCAAGTACAATGGAGAGCGAGAAAGCAGCATGCTGTTGGAAAGAAGGATATGCAATGGAGTTGCTTTGGGTGGCTGGCCCTCAAACGCTTACCTCGCGATTCGCGGCAGAATAATCCAGGTGGCACTGATCGACAGCAGTGCTAAAATTGAAAACAGCCTTCCAAGCAGAGAACGGGATGTCATGGCATTGCCACCCTTTCTCCTCGCACACGACGCAGGTCTTTCCCGGTCCTAATCATCCCCCGCACCAGTCCGTAAGCAACGCTGCATCGCGTAAACGCTCATGAGTGGAATGGGCGCCCCCTCCTGGGAGCTGATTTTGATTTTCACTTGCCTTGGAGCCACTCGCAGTTCTATACAAGGTCGTCCATGGAGAAGTTGTAGATGCAATTGGTGCAAGGAGGGTCTCTCCACACCCCAGACGGCAGTAACTTTTCCGTCTGGCCAACCTTCTCTTCTAGCTTTCTCTTCTTGGTTGCCTCCGTTTCGTTTCGAGGGACCGTCATTTTCCGATGTGAGCTGAATGATAAACTACTAGCTAGGATGTTTCTGCCAATGTGCAGACTAGGCAAGATAAGAGGTAAGTATGGGGGAGGGGATGATGACAAGTTCAAGCTAGCCTAGTAGAAACGAAAGGGGAGCCAGGCTATTCAGTTCTGCGCTGCGGCGGGAGAGCGGTAGCTCTGTACCTCGGGGAAGTTACGACCATCAAGAAGCCACTTGACAGTCACTCGAGAGCTCCATGACATGGCGGAAATTGGCAGGCGCGAGGCCAAGTTCGGTGGGTTTCCATTTCATCTTGCAGGAAGGACTGATGCAGTTCTCTCCGGAGCAAAAATGCAGGACGGGAGATCAAGATCGCTCATTATGCCTACATGTAATGCTTCTATACTATTCAAAACCCACAGGCCGGGAATTCCGACTTCGCTCGACCCCATGACTGAAATTGATCCCGTCTATCCCTCCATCAACAGCCGTTTTAACAAAAGGAAATTAAGCTAAGTAGGGGTGGTTTGAAAAAAGAGGAAAAAGGAGAAGAGGAAACAGGAAAAAAGAAAAAGAAGAAGGAAAAGGACATCCCATCTACTTCATATGCAACTTCATGCAACCTCATGCAATCAGAGCCAGCCAATCATCATCTCACATTCCTTCATTCTTTACTCGCGCATTCTGCCTCGCTCCAGCGTCTCGGCGAACCGAATGCCCCTCCTCTCGGCCGGCGGGACTCTAGGGAGTCTTCGTCGTCGCTATCATCCGCATGGCTAGTCATACCCAGTGCCGCCTCTCGACGCCGCCTTTCAGCTGGCGTCTCCTCATCTTCATCGTCACCATCGTCTGCGCTATTAGAACCGGATAATGCGGCCACCCTTGGGTCCCGAAGCGGCACTTGTAGACTTCGCGATGGTTCGGACTGAGGAGTAGGAGAGGTCGTCGTGATCATAGGTCCCGGGTGGGAGCCGGCTGGAGCTTCACCCGTTGGATCGGCCGCAGCAGGAGGCTCGGGCGGTTCCTGTGTAGCAAGCCTCTTGACCGCCAAAGATGCTGTTGACTGGTCAACCACTTCCCGACGGGTGCGGCTATCGAGTTTCTGCATCTCTTGGATGAATGCCTCCTTCGTCAAGCGCTGGCCTTTGCCACCAATTGTGAAGCGGATGTGACGGTCGTCTTCCTCCTCATCTTCACCCATGGCCTCGGCCTTGCTCGGTCTTCTGCCGCGCCTGGAACCCTCCGCCTGAGGAGCAAACGTGTGGGACATGACTTTGCTGAGGCCAATATACTTTAGTCCTTGGCTCATAAGTTCCCCGCCTGCCATACCTGGTTTGTCGGACGGCAGGTCGTATTGCTTGACAACTTCTCCATCCACGTCCTCGACGATAAGCTGTAGAGAATTTATCAGTAACCCTGAATGAAGAAAAGGGATGCAAGTATTCGAGCTTCGAAACTTACCGTATTGCCAAACTGGTACGCCCACGCCGGCTCATGCTTCCGTTCCTGGCTTGGCTTTTGCTTTCGCTTCTCCATCTTTTGGCGGTAGACATCATTCATCCTGCCCTTCAACTGTTCGAGGGACCATGCGTTGGGCGGTTCACCAGTTGACTCAAGTTTATTGTTCACTTCGTTCACGAGCTCGGTTGGTAGCATGTGACCGTGATGGCTCCCGACCTCTGATCCGAGCTGGGTGGGAGATTCTTTGGTCTCCAGAACGTCCAATACGTTACCGTCGCGGTCCTCGACTATAAGATCAGAACCCTCCTGGAAGGTGGTGATCTCGGGAGAAACTTGGCCTCCTTCGGCTTCCGCTTCGGCCGCGGATATCGCGCGTTTCTCTGCGTTCCCAGCCAAGGTGGGGCTAGGCTCAGCCCGAGCGTCGCCCTCAACCGCGGTAGACGACGAGTCAGTGAGGTCAGGTCTCCTTTCGGGTTGAATTGCAGATAGTTGCACGGGCCCGCCAGGCCCAATCCCGTCATCCCATCTCTTCTTCTTTCGGCGGCGCGATATCCGGGACGAGGACCTGCTGCTATTCTTCGGCATGGCTTCATCCTCCCTCTGACGCCGCAAGAAATTTCCCGGTATCCCCAGGGGCGGTAGAGTTCCGGGGGCACTTGTGGTAGGTCATCGCCTTCTGTATCCGACATGGCCTTCATCTGGGACTTGGACTGAGAAAACCTGGGGAGTCGGTTCATCCAAGTTGCTCCATCCTCGGCACCTTGGGTATAGGACATGGTGAGCTTAAGGGTGTTGATACGCTTCCCGAGGGCAAACACGGCGATGGAGGAGCCATGAACAAGGATAGACGAGATGACGATGAAAGCCACGATCGGCCAGATCAGCCTGATGAGATCGTAATGGGGGTGGGACTTTGGTGGAAGCTCCGGCTCAGGGATGCTATGGCCGGTCTCCAGCTCGCCGCGGGCCAAGAGAGCGATGAAAACAGCACCTACACCAATGGGACCAAAATGACCGGCGAACAATGCCTCTCGCCACGTTTTTATGTCCGGTATCACCGGTTTGAGTGCTAGCATGATGGGGATGCGACGGAAAAAGATGACCATGAGGGCGATGACGACTAACCTCCATGCCGTAAGTCCGATCTCAGCATCGTTGAAGTCGGACCAGGGGATGATGGTGCCGAGGTAGACAAAGTAAGTCAGGTTGAGCAATAGATCGATGACGTTGGACACGTGAGATTCTTCCGTCTTTTCGTGGAACCATCCATCGTTGGAGAAGCCGACACCGGCAGCAAACCCGACAAGGAGATCGTCGACGCCTAGCATGCTCCCTACACCGGCACAAAATAGGGAGAGCACAAAGTAGAACACGAGAAAACTCTCCCTGTCGATCAAGTCGCGCTCTTCAGCAAACTTGATGGCATGCCTCGCGAGGTAGCCAATGAGGAAACCTAGGAAGCCGCCAAAAACACACTCATACAAAATCGTGTAGCAGATCCAATGGAAAGTAACAGGGCCAGCTTCGAGGTTGCCGGCAATGAGGTACAACCCAAGGTAGATGAAGGGAAATGCCATTCCATCGTTGCAGCCTGATTCGGCCGACAGGAGATCTCGAATGTGTTTGGGCACGCGCTGGGCGAACTTACCCTTACCCACGACGGAAGAGGCAAGAACGGGATCAGTAGCCGTGACGCAGGCGGCCACAACGAGGGAGTCGAGCCAGTTCAGCTTGGGGACCATCCACCACACAAAAAGGCTAGTCACCAGCCAGCCATAGGTCATGACGGGAACAAGGAGGTAGATGACGGACCGCCAATGTCGTTCCATGTAATACCTCGGCAATTCGACACCAATAGCAAAGCACTGCACGACGAGGACGATGCGCGAAAACTCTAGGGTGACGATATCTGTATTACCCCATTCCAGAGGATTGATAAGGTCAGCGGCATAGGGACCAAAGATCACGCCGACAAGGGTGGCTACTGTCGCTTCACCAATATACATGCGCTCCTTGATAACCGAGGAGCAGAGCATGAAAAGCGAAGTGAAGCCGCCTAAAATGATGTAGACCAAGTGCGGCCTGGTGATAGAAAGATGTTCCCAAGCCATTTTGAACACTGGAGAATTATAATATGATAGGTTTTGATATCGAGATGCTGTGTAACCGACGGGACGGGATTCGGCGGTCGGTGCACAACGGGCCCGGTACAATCGTGAACGGAGTTTGTTCTCAACTGTGCAAATCGAGACAGAATCGCGATGCCGGGGTTTCTCTCTCCCACAACCCAATCGAGGGGCGATGGGTCCCGGGGGCTCTAATGGGGAGAAGAAGAAAAATTCACGGCGGCAAGGCGGGTTTGACGCAAGAAATTCGACCCACGCGCCAAGCTCAGCCCTGTGAAGCAAGGTCCAAGGACTGATGTAGGCCAAGATGTTTGTTCTTGGCGGGGACGAGAATTTGCCAGAGAAGGGAAACTTGGCAAAGCTTGTTTTGGGGGAGATCTTGCCAAGGAAGCCAAGAAGCGGAGGCCAAGACTTCGAGGACAGCAGAAAAAAATATCCCGCACTGGACCAATTGGAGTCGCGGCAAAGGCGCAAAGCCAACGTCACGGCAAGCGATAGATTCCGGGCAAGGAAAACTGTTATCGGCGAGCAGGACAAAAGTCTTGTTGAGACGCGGGGTGCTCCGTCCGGTACTTGTTTTTACGGCTGCAGCTACCGGACGGCCTTCAAGGCGAGGTATCGTCGAAATTCGGGAGAGGACGTGACCTGATGGTGATCATAGCAAGAGACGCTTGAAAGGTAAGGACCTAAACATATAGAGATTAGCAAGGAGTTTGCGAGTGCAAAAGAAGGAGTCACTTGGTAAATGTGGCGAGGAAGCAAGGTCTTTGTAATATGTAGACTGGTGATGTGAGGGAGAACGATGACGAAGGGTGCGAATGCGCTCAGAGCGCAGCCGGTAAAAACGCGGCATCGCCGGTGGTGGCGAATGGTGGGTTGTGCCTGCTTACCTTGGCTTGTGCAGCACCGTGGGGGTTTTGCGGCGCGTCTATAGGCACACGATTTGGTCCGGAGAAGCCAGCCAGATGAAACAAATGAGTGAAGATGTCTTGCAGCTCGAGCTTGCTCTCGAAAGAATGCGGTGAACAAAGAAACTCGAGTACAACTAAAAGATGGGGGAGGGGTATCGGGGTACAAGTGTTTCTTAAGTACTTTGCACCCGGATAGGATGTACGAGAAGGGGAGCCAAGAATCTAAGCACAAAGCATATCAAGGTTGATGAAGGGAGGGAGGAGGCGAAAATTTGTATTACTGGCGAATTGCTACCGGGGTGGAAAGCAGAAAAAAATTAGTTCCACCCGCTCCCCGATCCGCTGGCACCTCATGACGCTAAAGCTCACGTCGACCTCAGCGTGCAGGGAGTCCCCTTCTTAGCGTCCCGTTTATCCCTTCTCAAGTCAGATAAGCTCCACGGTCCCAATTGAGGCCCTCGGACTTGGGTTGAATCTGAATCTGTTGACCCAAACCCTCTCCCCCAAACCGTCGGCCCAAGGGAGGCGCGCGTGGAAGCGAAGAACGCCAAGAACATCGAATTTGCAAAATATCAACCAAACATGCCGTCTGAACAGTGGTCCTGCCCAAGGAGAACCATACCCTGGGTCTTCCCATGGTCGCTTCCCTGTCCGCCCCCATGGCCTCCATTGGACTTTCCCCGGCTAGTCCAATCGCTGCGCGTGTGCTTGCCATGGAAGGCAGGTCCACCCCTGCCGTGATGAGGATCACGAGCCAATCTTGTAATGTCCGTCCCGGGAGCACATTCAAAGAGAAATCCTTTCAATGCCTATTATTGCGACCCGAAGGGAAGTGTCCTCGACAGCCCTTCTTTTTACTTCTTTCTTTTCGAATCCCTGGAGGTTCTTCCTCGTGGGTTCATGTCGCAGTTCGCTCAAGCAGAGTGTCTAGACAGGCCACCAATGTGACTCACAATCAACCGTTTTCTGTTCTCGCTCGAGATTGGGTAGGAGTGTTCAGCCCACGATCGGTTGCCGCAAGCCATATAATATGAACAAAAGAAAAAGAAAAGAAACGAGAGAACGAAAAAGAAAGAAAAAACGCCAGTTATAACCAGCGGGTGTTAAGCTCGTTAATCTTAAGTTCGTAATGTCGGGCTTGCTCCGCCCGACGCCCCGACGCACCCGCACGCTCGTTGTGGACGCGTAACTCCGTGGAGGCAGTGAAGAAGATTTTATGTGGATCACGCTCATCGCAGAGCCATCCTCGCCCAAAGTGAAAAGGAAAACAAAACGGCCATAATAGGGGAGGAAAAGTTGAGGCAAAGGAGAGAAGGAAAAGGGAAAGAAACATCGTGCTTCCACTCACCACACCCTCGCGGGCCTAGGCCCGGCGCACACTCCGTCACGGGGCCACGCGATCTCCCGGACGTTTGAGTCGAGGCGCGCCCCTAGTGGCTTCATTAGAGGGCGGTCAGTTCTCAGCTCCGCCGCATTCGTCTCACGATCTCGTCAACAGAATTGGCGGTCCTGGGCAGGAGAAGGCGACTTGTACGCGCTAAGGTATTGGTTTTTCTATCCCGGCGATGCACGCCTCGCGAGCGCCGCCCTTGAGCAAGCTTCCCATCATACCGGATGTCGTTGTTTCAGCTCTGGGGATTTCTCCGTCTCTCCATGCCGCACCCATCTGCGAGGTAATAATAGTGCCGATGGCGAGGAAGAGTCAAACGTTCAAGCTACCACGCGAGCCAAGTCGAATAAGGTCGCGCACTCATTCCCTGGTGAGAGCCCCGTTACCTGTCGTGTCATGTCCGAGAGCGCGCGGGAGGAGTTGCGGAGAAAGCGAGGCTTCGCGATGACGAGAAACAAAGGAAGAGAAGGCCATGAGCCGTTCCTTGATGCTGTTGGCTGTGGCGTTTCTTCCAAGACACGGACGGCTTGCTGGGCCAGTCCCTGAGGTCGCGATTTTCTCTATTTCGGGTGCCTTTACCCCCTTTTCCTGGATGGGTTTTCCAACCCTGCGTTGCCAAGACTCAGCTATCACTCTCATCGTTCGATAGACCAACGGACCCTCAGACGCGGATCCAGAATCAGCTTCCGGTGTTTCCTCCAAAGCCCAGGACCAATGATTTCCCTTCGTGGTGCCCAATCTGACCTATGTTTTTTTTTTCAGCATCCTTGGAAATAATACTCGAGCTTGGATCGTCCCGGCCGGCTGATTGACTATTATAGGACCAAACGAATACCATCTTGCCGTTGCTTTTCCCCCGCCTACTTCAAGACCGTTGGACAAGTGGTTTGCAATGGTCACGGGATGAGAGAGTCGGGGTACAGCCTCCCATCATCCTATCGCCGAGTGTCGAGGAGCGTTGTGAATCCGCATGCATGATAATACAAACACAGCGCGAAGGGAAAGGGAGGATCTCAAAGCGCGGCCCGACGAACACCTCCTGTCCCTTCTTCGGAGCCCATTCCTATTGCCTCCCTTATTAGCCCCCCAGTTGCGGGGCAGGCCCTGCAAAGAGATTTGGGGGACGCAGACCCATGCTCTTTTCTTCCTGGAACATGATGAGGTATTGGCTTTTCAATTGATCTTTTTTTTTTCTTTTTCACGTGCGTCCTATGATGTCCAAAGCTCCATCATCCCCCATGTCTGCGCCGTCCCCCAACGCGCCCGGTCTGTCGAAAAGGCAAGTCCAAGCACATGGTGCATAAGAAATGCATGATGTACCAACAAGTGTTTGTATACGAGGGTAAAGATTGTCGAGGACTATTCCCTTTTGCTTTTGAAATCAAGATTGTCTCTTAATCCTTCCTGGTGTACATATATTGGAAACTTTGCTTCATTTTTCATCAAATGGAAGCAGCGTGTATACTAGCTAACCCTTGGGTCCTGGTCCGCCCAATTCAGACTCCTTCGGAACCAACTGAGCCTCCTCCGGCGCGCATCCGTAGGTTATGGCAGTCTCTTCCCTCAAAAGGAAAAAGAAAGAAAAAAAGGCATGGTGTTAATGTGCACCGAAGGCAAGGAGTGTCGAGGCAGGATTGAAAAAAAGAAAGAGTTCGAAGCTGGCCGAAGTATGACAAAAAAGCAAACAAGGACATCCATATCACGCTCAACAAGTGTTGTCGAAAACAGGGGTATCTGTCTTGTCTACTTACATCAAGGAGGTGGAAGTGATACCAACGATGGTTCTCTTTATCTTCTCCCCCTCCTTCAAGTGCTCCGAATGCATACCGATCCCTGCCTACTTTCCTTCCGGGCGTCCATCAATGGCCATCGGCGCCAGGAGCGGAAGGTGGGGTCTCCGATCCCCGTCAAAGAGAGGCAGCGCGGGCGGGGAAGTTTAGAAGGGGGAAAGGGGGGACATGGACACGCCAGAGTGGCTGTCCGATTCATCCATGGATCCATTGTTAGCCAGTCGATTTTTGATTCCTCGGTTCTGCCGGTTGTGCCCGCCTCCGTGTGTGCGCCGAAAATCGCACACACCCTTACTTACCAACGGGCATGAATGGCAAGTTCGGACGACGAAAATCCGTCCCGCGCATCACTGTCGCAGCATATGCCCGCACCGCACTGAGCCGGAACTCGACTGACTCGCATGGTCCCGTCTCATGCTGCATGTGCCGCACAAAAAGACTTTTCAAAAGAAGGATATTGTTGCTGGATGCTTTCCATTTGACAGCGCAAAGGCTGCTTGGTATCAAAATTGCTAAAAGTACAGGTAGATGTCCGGGGCCGCGTAATCCTACATAATCGTTTACAAGAGACATCGCCTCCTGTTTCCCTCGGGCATCGCCGTTTTCCCATGAGGCCCAGACTCCAAAAAGGAAAAAGAAAAACCACAAAGCCACAGGCATCATCGTATGCGGCCCAGCCACCTCCTCTCATTTTGGAGAGAGGTTTCCTTCTATGCTTGATTTCAAGAGATCCTCCAAAAGGAAAAAGAAACCCTCCCATGGCGTAGCCATGCATGCCGGTAGACAAAAGAAAAGAAAGAGAGAGAAGAAAAAAAAAAAAGTCACAGCTGCTAGCCCGCAGTGTGATGAGGAATCAAGATCCAACCTGTTGCTCTTGGATGACCTCACCCCCATTTTTAGACATTATATCGGAGATTTTATAGTTCCTTCCGTTTTCCCTTTGCTCAACAGTGGTGAAACCACCGAACCGCAAAGACGAAATTCTAGCCAAGCAGGGCTACGATTCCCAAGAGGGTCGCGAGTACTACTTGTCCTAGGAGAGGCTCGGATCGGGCTGAGGACGACGCAATGATATCAAAGGGACTACCACCCGCACCCTGAGGACGGTCAAACTGCTCGAACCCGGTCGGTTCGTCGTCGCCCCCGTCGTCGTTGCCATCATTATTGCCGCCGCCGCCGTTGTCTGGGGTCGGCGTCGGTTGAGGTGTCTGGATGCCACCCGGGCCCTGGCCTACGTCACTGTTAATTGGGATGAAGGAGAATGAGGGTGCCACGAGGAGGGATGTTTGGGTCGTACGGCTCTCAGAAGTGGTACTGGGTGGTAAATTCCTTCCAATCGTTGTCGTAGGTCGCGGTACCAAGGTCGTGGTAGGCTGTGGACGGACGCTGTTGCGGCATATTATGCTCACCAGGTTGCCCATCAAAGTCTGTCCGAGAAGCGTGTCGGCTCTAGCGCGCACGTTGCGGCAGTTTTGTTGTAGGCTGTTCTGCATGGATTGAAGTCCGCGCATGCACGCGGATGAGCAGCTCTGGGTCTCGAAATCCGTCTCAGTGCATCCTGGGACGGGCGTTTCGTAGATTCGCAGACACTGTTCAGGAATTGAATTCACCTTCATCACGTCTGCCAACGACGGGTCGGCGGCCAAGGCGGGCGAGAGGAGCAAGGCCGCGAGGACGAAGCCTAGGATGGAGGATGGATTGCGTCGATGCGTCATCGTCATGGTGAAGCTTTTCGATTTTGATCCGTTAAGGGGGCGGTAAAGCTCGAAAAAGAACTTGAGCAGGCGGGAGAATAGAAGAAGAGGAGAAGAGAGCCCACAAGAGTAGGCGAAAGGCGAGTAGGTATGTGTGGGCTGATAGGTAAGACGAAACCACGTGGAGTAAGTGATGAACGGTCTGGGGTTGAGCCGATCGGTGAGTCGACACCTATTCAGGTGACGGGTTGCCCTTTCCGAGTCGCCGCCTACGAGTTTTCAATGCCAGAAATAGGCAACTGAAAACCGCTAATACCGATCTCTAACCGGCGCGATCACCGATAAAGGTAAATAAGAGGTGCTTCGATGAGAGTGTGTGGTGGAGTGACGTTGCCGGGTTCCGAAACGCGAAGTGTCTCAAAAGCCAGCACAAGGCCGGTGTAAGTGCGAGTTGACTTGCAGTGGATGAGTTACCCGTCAATGCGGCTGTAGAGTGACGTCGATCTTCCCAGCCGTTGGATTTGATCCACGAACAGCCGAGGAATTTGCGAGGGTCGGAGAAGATGGGGAAGTCTGCGATTCAGGTTGTAAAATAAAATAAAAAATAAAAAAGTAGAAAAAAATGATGACTGAAAATTCCGAATTAATTTCAAGCTGATCGACGTAATGGCTGTGAGAAGACGTGGCGTGGCAAAGTCTTTGTTTTTGAAGGTTGCTTGGGTAATCCGGTTGACTCGGTTGAAGCTTCCTCGCTCAAGATTGCTGCTATTCTCGCGACCTATTAATAGGAAATGCCGGATTTGGAGACTGAGGCGATGGGGAGTTTTAGTTGGCGTGATTAGATATTATAATGTCGGGCACGTAAAAAGAAACGAGAAAAAGAAAATAAGACCAAGGAAATCCGATTTTCGTTTAACCTCGGGAAGGGTGGTCAATCGGTCGTGGTTTCCTCGTTAAAGTGATGCAAAAATTAAGAGAAATAAAAGTTGTTGAGGTCTCGGCGGAAGAAGAAAAGATGCCTCCGTTCACAGCCTTCGCGCGGCGGAGCTGGTCGGAGGAGGGCGGGACTGGCACAGATATAGGAACAAGACAAACTTCGAGTCTATCCTTTTTTTTTTTTTTTTTTGCTCCCTTTCCTTTCTCCAGTGGTTAGGTAGGTTTCAGATGGACTGGGTTGGCCTTGGATAGACTGGAGGAACCGGTTTTCAGCGAATTTCGATCGTCCTCGTTGCTTTTGCGCTCTCCTCTGAGAATGTCGGTCGGAGGAGAAGACAACACTGCCACCTTCTGAATCTGCGTCCCGAATAGGCAACGATCTGTCCCGGGTGGTGACACTTCAATGGTAGGCGATGATCACTGTGCTCTGAACTGTCGAGCGCGGCCCAGTGTCGGCGGGATAAGCAGGGCAAAGTGGCAAGGATCACTGTGTTCGAGGAACGGCGACAACGGTCTAGCCGCTTGTCAGAAGAAATGCGTCAGAATCAAGTGCTGATCTCGTGGTGCGCGGTGGGTCGGACCCCTTTGGGACTTCCTCTTGTTCCTCTCGATCAGGAAAAATCTGGGTGGGGAGATGATGATGGGCGGATCGCTCGAGGTCGGAGTTGAGGAAAGAAGAAAAATCGAGAGCATCGACAGTTCAACTGACGATGGATAGAGGAGGGGAACCGGCCTTCTTTTGTTTCAACAACCTCTTGCGCACAAGGGGGGAAGAGAGGACACAAAAAAGGGAGGAAAAGAAACGTCCTTCCTCCGGACCACCGCGCTCTCCCGTACTACCTTGCTGCCTCCGGCTCGGCGCACACGACTTGGCAAGGCAATGGGAAGCCATCGCAAGGCGTTTGTGGTGATCAGTTGAAACATGGGCCGCCCGCCCACCCCTCTTCCTCGCCATAGCTTAAACCCCCTGGCCTGCCCCACCGCACCTCGTTGGCTGCAGAGGTATAGGAGGCGGCTTTCTCTTCCGCCACCAATAACTCGGTTTGGTGCTAGCCCTGGCGTCTGCCATTTTGACTTAACCTGTTACCTGCTTAAGCACGATGGAAAATTCTACTCAGCGTCACGGCGTTCTCCTCTTCGGCTCGAGTCCGTCGGTATTTAGAACGTCTCGCCCAGCAGGAGCTAGCCCGTCTTGAGCTCTAGGACATGGTCTCGAAACACCCAGTCGGACCTCCGGAGGTAAAGATGTGGTGGCTAAACCCAACATAGACATGAACAGACAGCACCGAGCCAGCCGAAGAGACAAAAAAATGGTTGGAGCCGGCTTCACAAGGGGAAAATACTGCTAGAGATAAAAATTAATGGAGGGGGCGTGAAAGGGGAGGGGAGGGAAGCGAAATGGCTGGCAGTTGGCGAAACACATCAATTGACGTATCACTCGCTCCCTTTGCTGTGTACTGAGGTACGCCAACCTGAAGCGAGAAGGGGTCTTTGAATCCCCAGCCCAGGAGCACGAGGAAGCTAGCCTCCTACCGAACCGACCAGTGGATTGATTCACAATGTGGCCAACCATCTGGCAGTTGTACCAAGCCCCTGGTCTGACCACAAGGGAGAAGCCATAGCACACAGCTACCATCTCTGTCCTGCTTTTGAAGCAGGTGAGGTCAGCGAGTTCAGAATTGATTTATCTTCACCTCCGACTGTTGACAACATAGTGTCACTCCTGCGAGTCCCTCGTCGGTTACCCACTTCCCCTAGGCGAACATTCGAGCTCACCACGGAGAGAGAGATCAATGAAGGGCCTTGCAAATCAAGAAAGCGTCTGCAACAGGCCCCGAAGCTCGACAACAATGGTTCCTGGCCACTTGGGCGCGGATCCAAGATACACAAAGCGTGGCTTCTCGGTGGGGACATCGACAACCCCTGATGGCGATCCCCGGTCATTATGAAAGATGATTGGTTAAAAATGGGGTTGGACCCTTTTGTGCCAGGGCAACTGGACACCGATATTTGATTGGCTGGTGATGGCCAGAAACACTGTTCAGAAACGCCCAGGACAGGACAACTCATGCTGCGGTTGGCTAGAATGATGACCTCACAGGGAGCAAGTTGAAACGAAACAGTGCTCGACTGTTTGAGGATGACCACCCCTTTGCCCCCAGCTTCAACAGAGGATCAAGCTTATCCCCTCAACCTCAACCTCGAAAACCTTGAACACGCCACTTGGAGAGAACTCTCCCATCCATCCTCCGAAATGGGGAATACTTCGTACCTTATCCCTGCCCGAGTTCGCGTGGGAAAAGAAGCTTCCGAGACCCCACTCTAACCCAAATATGCGGCCTCAAGGCTAAAAAGGAGGATTGAGGATTCGTGATCCTAGCTTGCTTCCCTGCTCCCAAGTGCTTCAGATATCCTTCCAAGCCGTGGCCACTGGCGCGATCGGTATTGATCGGGGCTATAATATTGACCTGCCAGATCGGGGATGGGTGCCTCAATTGTCGAATGTGTCAGCGCGGGAGTCGCCATGACACGGAGGCCCGGTGCTCCTCGTCCACAGAATGATCTATCGCACAAGGATGAGGAAAGACTAGGATCCGAGGGCCAGACCCAACTCGCCCGTGGGCGAGAAGAGCATCGCCCAAAAATGCGGATATCCCTCAGCCATTGCGACTTCGCGCCTTGCTCCCCAAGATTCTCCAGGGGAGAATGGAGAGGAAAATCAAGGCACGACCCCATGTCAAACCCCTTTATTGACTCTTTCTTCAATGCGAGGTCATGACGCTCTGAGCTTCTCCACTCCCGCGATCAAGGAGGAATCTGCAGAGATCTTCGCCCCCACCCCATGATCCAGGGATCCGCATAACTCATAGAGCACATCATATTATTACCGCAAGAGCTTCAAGCAAAAAAGCAAGTGAAAAAGGGGGTCAATCCATGATATATCAACGCCTAATTATGCAAATCGAATACACAATCCGCTCGCAACCAGGTCCAGACTCGGGGAGCTTGCCTTGGCTGACTCTTTGTCTCTTCTCCCGTCACGTCGCGGGAGGCTGGCCTCGACTCAGAATCAACTTTTTGTGGACCGCCTCCGAAGAAGGGGTGCGGGTGAGGCTTGTCTGCAGACCGCACGACAAGCATGTCGATCACTATTAGAGTTGCCGATGTCTAGAGCCCGATCGGCATCACGCACCTGGCCTGGTAGGCCAAACAGCAGGAACTTTTTCCCCCTCCTTGCATATCAATCGTTGGTGTCCTACTATTATTATTGCTGATTTCTCTTGTGTCCACTCATCAGTTTCATGAGAACCCGGTCCGCACCTGTGACTGCGTCTGTTGAAGATCCAACCACGCCAACTACTTCGTCCTTCATCTTAGGTATAATAATCCACTTGCTGTCTGAATACATTGGTCTTGTCTGTACCGAGGTAATGACGTAAAATGGACCACAGTAATTAGAGGACGTAGGTGTCTATCCAAAAGGCACACATAACTGAAGCGCGTTTCCTGTGATGGGAACAATCCATGTAGGCACGCAAGGCACGGTATCTAAACCCACATCCCCTTTTTCAGATGTCCGCGTCGTCGCGTTAAGGTTTTCCGCGTCTCTTTTTCTCTTTTGTTTTTTTCTTCCTAGTCTCATTTCTACCTCTGGCCTACCCGTAATATCGTTCAAGGGTGACAATAAGCAAAGGGAGTTGTGAAGGTCTGTGGGCGCCGAATAAACCTCCGACACTCTCGGAGCAGCGCCGACGCGCGTCACCAACTTCGCCCCTCTTTCTTTTACCTCGGTCTGTGCCACGGCCTGGTCACTCCGCACTGACAATTCGGCGCGGGAGCTGAACTACCGACGACACCAATGTCAAGAGCCACCGGAGCGGGATCAGCACAGCCTTATGACCAACTGAGAGAGGCGTGGAATGGGAGCAATCCTCTAGTTGAATAAGAGGAGAAGGCTCTCAACAGAAAGGAAAGAAATTGCGGAAACGGACCCCGAAGTACCATTTCTCTTAGGTGTTGATATACTCCTATTTATGCACGTTGGCTGTAAAACCATATCTCACGGGAGCTCTCTGAACGTCCTACCTGTT